CGCAGGCAGCGGGTAGCAGCAGGCCCCGCGCACGCTCCCCCAGAGACAGCGGGGTTCGGGACGGGGCACAAGGGGCGCCGGGCACGGCCCCTTCCCGCCCGCTCCGGTCAGGCGCCGGCGGGACTCCCCCGCGCCGTCTCTCACGGCCTCCCCACGAGCGGCACGCACGTACCGACACCGGGAACTGTACCTGTCCGCCGACGGGAGGGCCCGAGACAGCTATCCCGGCTCGGGGCCGCCTCCCCCATGGCGCCGCCGACCGCCTCTACATCGGCGCGGGCCGCCCCAGCCCGGGCTGGGGGTTGTGAGAAGGGCTGAGGGAGACGGCACAACGGCCGCCAACGGCCGCGGGGGGCTCGCGCGCCAGTACCTGGCTGGGGGAAGGAAGGGGAAGCCCGCGCGCTGCTCCACGCTGCGCTCCGCTCGGCCGTGGCGCGCGGCAGCCGCCCGAGACTTTCAAGCAGCGCGCGCTCAGGGTAGTGGCCCCGCCCCGGCGAGGGGACTACGAGTCCCAGCATGCTCCGCGCGGACGGGGAGGCCGTCAGGGCGCGTGCTCCCCTCTTCCGGACCCAGCAGCTCCCAACCCCTCCCGCCATCCCCGCCGTGAGGGGGCCCCGGCCCGGCCGCTGGGGTCGCACCGGGAAGCGGAGTGTGTGGCTGCCCAGGCAGTCTGCCTCCGGGATCCTCCTCGTTTCGGAGTCGCTATCGCCTTGGGCACGGGGAGTTTTCCGGAACTTTCTCTTTCGTTTGTAAACCGAGCCTGAATTTAGGGTAGAGCGTTTGTAGGGCAGGCACAGATGCTGGGGAAAGGAGTTCTGAGGGGCCTATGGAATTTGCTGCTGGCAGAGCAAGTGCAGCTAATTCAAGCATCTCCAAAAAATATTCAAACACATTTAATGCAGTGAAATGGGTGCGGTGCTGTAGCACTGAGTCAGCACATCCCCTGCCAAATTCAGTGCAGCTATCCCTCGGTAAAGTGTAGAAAAATAGGAAAACATTGCTTCCTTACGTTGGGACTAACACGCTTGTGATTGAAAGCTTACTTAGTGTTGGCAGCACTTCCTAATGCAAATTTTCTATAACCACTAAGTTGCTAGTGGGTAAAATTATGGTCAACATCCCGGAAAGACTGTCATCGTTGTATTTAGCATTTATTTTCAGTTCTTCCTTTTTATCTTTGCTGTCTGGTCACATCTGTCCCCTGGTATATAGAAAAGGTTTTCAGGTAGTTATCAACTTTAAAAAAAAGCACATCAAAACCAGCAGAGTAAGAATGTATTTGTGTCTGTTGCTTTCTTACAATATTTATATGTAAAGAAGCTAAACACCACTAAGTAAAAGTTACTGGTTTGAGTAGAGGTATGAATAAGGAAATTAAATACAGTAACTGGCAGTTTGTACTGTTGTGGTAACATGTACTCCGAATGAGTCATTTTGAGATGACAATCATACTGACCCATTCATTTCTGACTATTCTTCACAGTGATTGCTTCACATTGGTTCAATTGAAGCAAAGGATCCATGACATGCAGTTGAAGGCAGCACGTAGATAACAATAATGAACAGGAAAATCATAAGCATTAAGTATACTGGAATCAAAAGGTACCACGGAATTTTGGCAGGACACAGGACTGAGCCCTGTAGCTAAACCAGTGAGTGGGAAGGGAGAGAGTGGAAGCAGGTCACTGACTGCAAAGGAAGAGGTGAGGGACAGGTGTTACAGCAGTGAAACCCTGGGGTTAATGTAAGAATTGGTGGTCAAAGTTAGAATTTTCAATCTGTATTTATGTACTATAACTGCTTTAATTTTAAAAAGCCCTATTCATCCATATCACATACTGAAATTTGAAGTGGTGCACAAGGGAGTTTTATAAGAATAATCCAACTACATACAAAAAGGCATACCAATAACATTCGTGTTTCACAGATCTAGTTAATGTTTTGGGACATCTCATGCATGGGATCGAGTTCCTATGTAACCATCTGTTGCACTGTCTCATTCTGCTTATTTGACACATTAAACACAGTAAGCAGATTTTGATAGCCAACATGTGGTCTGCCCACACTACAGTCTAGAATGACAAGGGACACCACAGTGCCAACCTTAATTTCTTCCTACTGGCAACACGCATGCTGGAACCTAGAACAGTTTCAGATTGATCTTGCTCCTGATGTTTCTTGTCTTCAGAAAAATGTGTCTTTGTGTATTGCTAAAGAGAACAAATGCAGTCTAGAGACTCAGTAAAGAATGGGGAGAGAATTAGAACAAAAGAGAGACTATGCATGCAATGCTGAATTATGCAGTTTTTCTCTGCACTCATAAAAACCTACATGTCTGCTTCTGCTTCATTTGTTGAGTTGGTACACAGAGTACAGAGTGGAACAAACACAAGGATGTGTGCATGTTTCCAGCTGAAAGTAATGAGATCACTGGACCAGAAGTCTTACTAACACTCTAGAATAAACATTACCGCTGCACTGGAGGAGGTGTTTTTATTTACTGATTTTCTGAAATTAAAGGAGAAGACTTGTAAATGGGTGGAGGTGTAATTTGCGTGATCCCCCTCCCATCCTACTGCCAGTGGAAACCTGCTCTCTGCCATCACAGTGTGTTGCCAACATTTTGATTTGGTCGTCTGCTCCTGTGCTTTGAGTGCTCAAGCAGTTACTCAGCTATAAGAAGGAGCACCCATGGACAGTCTCCTGCTGATGTTCATTGTGAAAAAAAAAAGAGTGTATCAGTGCTGAGGAAGAAGACTGTCTACTTGTTAATATTGCAAAAATTCTAAGAAGTGGATAATTTAAACAAAAATGTTTAAGCTGCTGTAGTGCCAGGCCCAGATTCACTCTGGAGGGTACTCCTTAGTAAGAAGTGACAACCCTCTTTAGTTGCTAGTGACTAAGAAATAGCACAGCCATAATGCAGTCCCAGAAAGCGTTCTCTCATCCATGTCTTTAGCATTCCTCTTCTTTCCGCCATTTTGCCAGAAAAGAACATAGTAATATTAATAAGGTTCTTTCCAACCCATTTTGTGGGAGGATGGTGTGTTTAGATTTTTTTTCCCCAGCACTAATCAGCCTCTTTCTGGAATTTCATAACCCCTGCTTCCAGATTAGTAATGACTGAAGGGAGGAAGCAGGTAGGAGGCTCCTCTCTTGACTCCTCTGGCTGTGCTCTCTACCCCAAAATACAGGGTCTCCTCCCATCCCAGGGAGTCCACAGGGGCCTCCATGAAGTGGTGGGATGCACAAAGGACAGACTTACTGCACCCAAGAGGGTAGGGACATTGACGGGGTCACAGCTGTTGTGTTTAGGAGTTTGCTGCTTTTGCACAGGCTCAAAAAAATTCATGAATTTTCCACTTAGGGACTAGCCTTGCCCATTTATAAACAGAGGTACTGGTAACAGGATGTAGACTTGGTAAAAGATTTGTATTATCTGGATTCGTAAGTGATTCCAAGAGAAATATGCTGAGCAACATTCACTCTGATGCATAAGAATGATACTAGCTAACAGAGTTAATTGCTGTCAGTTATTGAAAGTCTTTGTGAAGCTCAGCTTCTGACAGTGTATACTGAGTGTGTTCCTCCTTTCTTATTAATCTGTAGTATACCAAAACTCAAGTAGTCTAAACAGGGACCATAAATGATGTCAAAGAAGTTATAGCAGATGACCAGCTGTAACAGAATGAAACAAGCCATGGAAGCTCCAAATCAATAGCATGGATCACCACAATTATTCAGTAACCAGTCTGCCTTCCAGAGCGCTAAGGGGTATGTAGGACATCCATTTGAGTACTTGTTATAACTAGCAGCTGATTCACCAGCCACGTTGTTCTCCTTCAGAGAACAACAAATTGCAGTAAGGCAGAAAAGCAAATGCCTGAGGCAGTCACTGCTTCAGCCATCTCATTCCTATGTTTGTCAGCAGCCTCAGATCCTTACACAAGCCCACTAGAGTGCCTTGTCTTGTGCTCTGATGGATGTACTGAAAACAGTGAAAAATGCAGTCTTTCTTGGTCTTTATGATACAGAAGAGGCATAAAAGAGTTATATTTCAAATTGCTATTTGCTTTCATAGAAAACTTTTCTTGTACACGTTGTCAATATGAGGATGTATGAGCCACAGGCATAACACCCAGTCAACACTCAGTCAACACCCAGACTACACTGTCTCTCTGACACTTTAAATGTTTCTCTAATCACCTAGTGCTGACAGTATTCATTTTGAGTACCCATAAGAAACAGTGTCTTCCTGTGGTTAAGAGTATATGAACACAACGTATGTATGATGCACGAATGCTGTGAAATACTCTTCTGACAGTCTTGTTACTCATCAGAGGTATGTCAGTGCTAAGGTAGAGATGTACTGGAGAATTAAGCCAAAGTGGAGTGTTAGTTGTAGTACAATCCCAAATCCAAACAAAGCTCTACCTAAGTTTGTGAGGCCTTTGTCAAAGCAAGACCAAGTAGCTCAGGTCTTAGTGGCAATTTTTGCTTCTTTTTTCAAAACTCATCACATATGTATCATCAAAAAGCATTTTCCGCAGTTCATATGCAAAGATACTGGTATGTGTATTTGCAGCAACCGTTTGCAGCTATATGTCAATATGCAAATGCATATTGACAAGTGGGTGCATGAATGCAGGAGTATTACATTTAAAACTCATAAAATCCTCAAAACCCTCTGCATTACCAGTTTTGTTACCTGTACTGATGATAGCAACTATTCTGGGTTTATCTTTGCTGTGGCTGTGCTGCTTGTGGCAAGTTTTTTTCATTTCTAAAAACAAGTCAGTATAGATAATAAAAGCATGCTGAGCTTCCAGTAAACCAGCACATATTTATTTTTCCTTTTTGTGAACCTTCGTTGTGAAATGATACACCCAGGTGGAGATAAAGGCTCAGTGCCACGTAGCTCCATGGCTCAGCTTGGCCTCTAGGGACCTCTGGGACAGAGGGAGCCCCAGCCTAAGCCAGGCGCCATTGTCAGTTCAGTTTCGCTTTTGAAGGGGCAGGGGCAGGAACAAATCACTTTCCCTTTCTTTCCAGGTAAACCTTCAAACTAGTCCTGCAGTGATTACTTAACAGTTTAAAATATTGTGGCTTTTTTTTTTTTTAACCTCACAGTAATGTAAGTTTACATACGATCAACAGAGAACTTGGAGCCTGTTATTTTGTTCCTTATGCATGTGGACCTCATCCTTGTGCTGAAGAAGACTAAGAGGTAAATTTTCTAGCATATTCCTCTTAGCTACAGGTGCTTCTGTGCTTCTCTGAACACCATCCCTTTGAGTTAAAGTCCTTTGGGAAGGTGTGTGTTCCGCTATGATGAAGTCCAGAATAGCAGTTTTAGCCTTTATTACTGTGACTTAACATTTTTCCTCTGCGTGTACATTGTCTAGAAAACTCTAAAAACCTGTCTGGGGTGATCCAGTTCCTCCAGACTCTCCAAGTCTGCCGAGAGCCTGAGCTACACCAAAGTGACTTTTTTTCCAGTTCAGGAATTAAACAGAGCTCTCTCTCCCTATATCTTTAAGGCATGATCTAGTGGCATTAACAGCTTGATTTAATCATTAACAAGAAATTGCAAAAGGACAAGGAGACTGCTGCAGGTAACCATGAATGGTTTGTCAGGTGGTGGGAAAGGAACAGCTGTGTCATTGTTTTTAAGGTGAGAGTCTGAGGCAAAGCAAACCTGAGTCCATCTGAGGCAGGTGAGCAGCACCTGGCAGTTGTTGCTGCTGATTTATTTAACTTGGTGCTGGGCCCCACTGCACCTGAGGTAAGCTCTTCCTAGACTTACACGCTTCACATGTGCAGTTTATTTTTCTGAGACAAGGGATTTTGAATAATGCTTGAAAATATTCCTTTCCCTGTTTCTGGTAATGCAAACAGTGAACTAGCAGGTGAAGGTCTGCATCTCAGGGAAATCTAGGGAAGCGTAAACTATACAAGGATTTGGATGAAAGCTTATTTTCAGCCCAGTAGCTCAAGTAAAGGGACCTCTTAACTGAAAGGTTTAAAAGAAACTAAAAAAAAAAAAGCTGTTAATTATGTTCTGTAGGAAAACTGTAGATTAAATTCTCAGGGATCTGATTCCAGCTCACAGGCTTCTACAGAACTTTTAGGCCAGAATGAGGAGAGGAAGATAGAGAGGGGCTTTTCATGTACAGGCTCCTCAGTGTGGACCAGCTCAGTGGGAAATGGAGGTTGTCTCTAAAAAGCCAGTGCGATTCCCTCATAATGGGAAAAATATATTTTGCTGCATTACTTGGGTGAAATTGCCAGGCAGCTGATGGGACGGTGCTTCCATACTGCACCCTGTCCTCTCAATGTTACTGGTTGCTCCCATACATGCTCTCAGGCTGGGTGTTGGGGACAAATTCTTGCAGTTTTTCCGTTCTCCCTTGTGTGCTCCTCTTATCCTCTGCATTTCTGCAAGTGATGTAATGATAGGGGCAGGACAGAGAGCAGGGCAATATCTGGCCTATATTGAGGGTTTTTTTATTCATGGAAGGGAAAAGTATTCTTTTTTATTCTGCTCTTCACTGACTTTACTCACTTATCTTACACCTGTCCAACACAGTAAGTTACTCTCAAGACGCTAATCTTTCTAGATATGTAATGCCTTCAAACCAGAAAGCACTGTCACCTTCTTGCTGAATTCCAGTTTTCCAAATAATGGCAGAGTTAGTAAAGGCTTAAAATATCTTAGCTCCTTTGAAGAGAATGGAGACTTGAAAACTAAAGAGAATAGAGTCACTCCTGAATGCAGTCACTGGTACTTGCCTATAATGCTATCAAATTAACTCAACCTGGAGCGTAGCTAGAGTGAGAGCTTGGTAGCACTCAATTTTTATCAGCCTGCTTATTTTAGACAAAGCCCAGTGTCTGAGTTGACATAGTCTCTAGTTTCTGTAAACACGTGGATAATGGAAAGATATTTCACACAGGTCAATGAGATACAGATGTTCTATTAAATTTTGTTAGGATTTTCTTAACATTTCAGAGGTGAAAAAAGGGAGGCCTTGGTGGAGAAAAAAACCCCCATATTTCAACTATTTCGCTGGGATCTAGTGATTCTCTGGAATCAGATAGGATAATCAAATAGTGTTTGTCTTTTCTGCGAAAATTAAGGAGGCCCACTAACCTACCATTTCCCTTGTCCTGTTATTCTGGGAGAATCCTCTCTCGGGAACACTGCATCAGTTACATCTAGCCACACTAAGTGCCTTGTTTGCTTCTGTTCCTCATGTAAGTACTCTTGGGTTTTTGTGCTACATGGAATAAAATTAAAATAGGTTAATCAGTAACTAATTTTTCCAGCAGCAGCTGAACAGTTTTTCATGTGTTCCCAGCTGTAAGTAATCTAAAATCTGTCTTTTGCTTTTGTGTAGGTACTGATATACTCCATATTGCTGAGTCTTGCAGCAGCAATTGAAGAATATGTATCTCTTCCTCCTTTCTGTTTTATATTTGTTTTTCAAAGCCACTGGCAGCAAAGAGGTTATATTTGGTCATAATCATTTCACAGAATATCAAGTGGGCAACATGAACCTGATTCTCTCTGTCCCACATGGTGGGTCAATGGAACCCAAAGACATCCCTGATCGAGAAGCTGGCTGTTGGGATGCAAAGACTTCCTCTTGTATTTTCTCTCATGAGTGTCCTTCTGGAAGTATTCAAAGTTATAAGAAATGCAAAGTGTCTACCAACCAAGACAGGTATACTATAGAGGTGGCTCAGGCTCTTGCTGAAGAAATCAACAAAATTACTGACGGCTTCTTCCCACATATGATTATAAACCACCTTCAGAGGTTCAAGATGGATGCTAACAGGGAAAAGGAAGAAGCCTCCTTTGGAATTCCCCAAGCAGAGCAGGCCTGGGAAGAGTATATGGGATTTTTAACCACTGCAAAATCACAGATGACAGGGGGCCTGATCCTGGATATCCATGGGCAAGCACATCCTGAACGGTGGATAGAACTAGGTTACACGCTTTCAAAAACTTCCCTTAACTCAGGCATCTTTTCTGCGTCATGTTCCTCAATTAGCCATCTGGCCAGTCAGCTAGTCAATGTGTCTTCTGAGACTTTGGTTGCAGGGAACAGAAGTTTGGGTAAATATATTGAAGTACAAAATAACAGTTATGTTTGTGTGCCTTCTCCATCCAATCCTAGCCCAAATAATGGGAGTTACTATAGTGGTGGATACATAACAAAAAATTTTGGTTCCCGCAGTTCTGGCACCGTTGATGCCATTCAGCTTGAGCTACCCCAGTGGGTGAGGGCAGCCGAAGAACGTCCCAGATTTTGTAAAGCACTAGCAAGGGCTGTAATGAAATTCTGGCAAACCAACTACTGCAGCCAGTACAACCATGAATTTCTGCCATGCTGAAAGAGGCTGTCTTGTTGAGATACTTTTCCATAATACAGGAATGATCTGGAACAACAGAACAACTGATACACCTGGAACATTTAAGCCTGTAATATAATTGTGGATGTTGGTGGAAAGAAGCTAACCTGCAAAGGAATAGAGAGACATTGAAACACAGAAAATCCACAGCTAAAACGAAGAAGTCCATTAAGACACAGCTTTGTACTAGATCCAGCACTGAAAAGATTTCTTGAACATGAGTGGGATATTTGGAAGTATCACTTGCCTGGTATGCTTTTCGGTGCTTAATTTCTTTCCAGTAGCATCCTCTGTTCTCTAGCACACAATAAACAACTATTCTTTTTTAATGTATTCTGTGCAGTGCAGTGCCATAGTAGATTATATATTCAAAGAAATGAAGTGTCTCTGCTTTTCTTGTGACACTTAATGATATTATCCCAGTGTATTTCTTATGTAAAATGTTTGGGGCTGGAACTAGTTTCCATTTGGTGTTTATAAAGGCCTTAGAGTTGGAACTCTTCAAGTAAACAGTAACTCTTCAAGTAAACAGTACTCTTCAAGTAAACCTGCAGTATTGACACGGTGAATAACTAGCAGCAAGTGTACATTAAGAGTCCTAGGATGCTCCCTTCAAATGGAAACCAAAATAGTAACACCAACAGGCATTTGGCCACAGAAGATATTCATTATGGGTTTTCTGACTTGTGCCACCCAGCAGGTTAGACTGGATGATACAGCCAATCTCTGTTCGCACTAGAATTCATAAAGGTTTCTGTCAATTCTACCTATTCTACCCATTTCTGATTATTGAAGTTCCTGCAGCATCTTCCCTAAGGAAGGAGACATCCAATCTGAGATCTCAGGCAAAAGAATTTTCTTTTACATAATATACATTACAATGGTCCTGGTTGAGATCTTTGTCTTAGGGCCATAATGAATTCTTAAATGCTGAACGGGCTATCCACTGATTTCAACAGGAATGATTTTTACATAAATGCAAGATCCCTTTATCTTTTGCCATGTGCTTTCCCAAGCAGAAGGGCAGCTCATTATGCAGCACAGGATGAAAGATGTTGTTCAATATGATACTATTATTACTTGTGCTAGTTAAAGATTTCAGTCTCCTATTTAGATGAAAATAGAGAATAAAACATAAGAGCAAAACTTTCTGACATCACTGTGCCATGGAAGAAGAAAAGGGACAACCCCATGTTTTGTTTTCTTAAATGTTGGCAAGAAGATCAGTTTCCAACAGTTGGCAGTTCTCTTTCAGTGCTATCCAAAGGTTCAGTTTGAGATTAATGGTTCAGGGTCCAATCATAAAAATAGGGAAGATGTTAAGTAGGTTTTAGCACATCCTGGAAGGGAATAGATTTAAGACTTTCAATTAATGCAAAATCCACCAGAACAACATTGTTACTAGCCTCTTATTAAGTAAACAGCTACTGGCAACTGCTGAAAAAGAGCGTGCTTTCTGATCACCCTAAAATACACTGAGTAAATTTTACAAATTTTGGTATGTTTACAACTGTTCAGTTTAAGAAGATCATATGAATCACAATAATGATAAAATAATGTTATACTTTCACCTTCATTACACCCCGAATCATACACTGACCTTCCTTTAAATGCATCTACCGTGCCCTAGGCTTTGTTGTACTATATAATAAAAGTGATGAAAATAATTGGGGTCAATTGAGTTGACCTATAGTGGTTTTTACTGTTTTAAATCTGCACAGCTAAGATTTAAATTGGTGCAACAAGGGATCAGGATTTTGCCCATGAACCTGAACTGACAGGCAGTAAATTGATCAGAAAAACTTATTTAAAAAAATCTTATCAAAACAGTGCATTTCTAAAACAAAGTAGATAAACCATAAAGAATCTGAGACGCTGAAATTATTTTTTGGAGGCAATATGGCCATTTCATTCTGTTAATAATTCTGGTAAAGGCATCTTCTGGACAAACAAAAATATTGACACTGAAGGTATTAGAATGATAATTCTGAAAACTTGTCTGCATAGCATTAAGAAAACAATTGCAAGGAGCTTTGATTGTTTTTTTCTTTCTGTAATTATGTTTAATTAATATAAAGATAGCTCAGCTGAAAATAGTGCAGAGTTAAAGATGGCATGTTCTATGATGCTGTGACCTAAATCTAGGTGTCCTTAAATGTGGGTGTTTCTTGTTTTTCTAACCTAGTTCTCAGTCTTCCTTCTGTCTTATCTCCACATGATTAACAAGGAAATCAAAATGTTTCTGGAAGAAGACGTTTGATTGGGATACTTGGCTACCTATGGAACATCCCATCAACTCTTTGCCTATCCAAGGACACCAAAGCTCCTGAAACATGAGAGAAAGGTTAGAGCAGTACCTCTGGAATATTATTTCTTGTTCCTCAGAGAAGTCTGTATGGCTAGCAAAAGAAGAATTTTTGCAGATTTATCACTCTGAAACTTTGAGCAGTTAATCATAGTAAGGTGCTTTTCCTCTTAACCATCAAAAAGTGGAGAGGGGCTTTCTTGTGAGCATCATGTTACAATCATACACTGGCTTTATTAGAATTTATTCTCTGCATGAAGGACTGGAATAGAAGTAAAGATTTTATTTCTATAGGCTGTACTTCACAATGAAATGGAGTTAAATAAAATAGAAAAAAATTGAAATAAGGAACTTGCCAATTGACTTTCCTGAAGATGGATACTATGCTTATTTGCCTTGCCACTATTCTCCACTGAAACCTGTCTCCATTGACCATCCAGTGGGACTGGACGTCTCAGCTTTCTTCCACTGAAGACCTTTGAAAAATAAATTGCAAAATTTCAAGAACTTTTGAGGTGAACAGACCACTTTGATAGCATTTTGCAACAACACAGACAAAAAATTATTTGTTGTGTATGTAACTCACAGAAAAAGTCTGGTCTCCTATTTCATTGCCATTGGCTTCAGTTTAGTTGCTCCTAACTTGCCAAGGCACAAGCCTCCCTGTATTTTATTTTCTTCTGCTTGAAGAAAACAAAATGGATTTCTAGTGCACATTAATGGTCGGAAGAATAGTATATGTGCCAGCTATTCGAACAGTGTGCCCCCACGTTTTCTGTTTTCTTAGATACTCTGTAATGCTGCATGCACAAACATTAGGTTATTTCATTGCAGATTACCCTATTAATCCCACCTAACTAGCCATCTAGATGTTAGGAGTCTTATCCAAGCTAGTTCTCTAGCTATGCTCTATAGAGTAAGATCAACACTTCTGCTAGGGTGGTTCTTTCCATCCTATGAGGCTGTGGACATTCTGGTCTTTCTCCATAGAAGGAACAACCTAGGAAGCCTTGCTAGACAGCTTGCAATAAATCAAATCAATATTACCCATAAAACAGTATTAACTTACAATAGCCAAAGCTTTGTGCAGACAAGAATCAATAGTTTCTGGGCTGGCTCAAAGAGTCAAGTCTCAGCAAAATGTTAATGATGTGATTGATCAGGAGAAGTAAACGTCTGGAATACTTACTTTGTGGCACGCTCACTTCAACTGGCTTCTCAAGCTTCCACCAAACGGAGAATGGAGTTGGATAGGCAGTAATGCAAACCATGTAAGAAAATTAAATCAAGAAGCAGACAGTTAACAATAGAATGTCAGAGTACATGATTGTAATAATTTACTAGTGCTAATGGCTTCTTCTGTATGAATGCCACTGCAAAAGGTAGAAAACACTTGCGCTTACCTCATATATAGGAAGAAACCCAAATACTGCACCAGCCTCTCTGTTTCCAGACTGAAAACTTTCCAAAGGTTGTCTCTGAATCTGACCAAGGGAAGCCAAAGTCAGTGCATTACTAGCTGAAGAATGAGAAATACAATTGCATTTCCTATATGATGCACAGAACAGAAACCAATTTGTCATATATATTAGCTACCTTTGGAGAAGTCAGAGCTTGGAAAAACCTAAAGTCCTGAATTTTGTCCACATGTTCAGGCTCTTTTAAAACTGAAGGTGATCTGATCGGTGAGTTCCACCTATACACACAAGACAGAAATACGTGATGCTCTTATCAAAATGGCAATTTTGTATGCAGCATTCTTACACAGCTCCAGAATAAAATTATTTTAAAGTATAAAGTTGCTCTTAAGGTGAGAACACAGAGACTATACAGAATGATAAGCCTGAAACTTTCTATTGTGCAGCATGTCGCTGCTTTTTTTTTCTTTTTTCCCCAGTTCTCTGCACAGGTTAGCAGGCTTCTCACTTGCTGCTTGTCTGGTTAATTAATGTGTTTTAAATGTATGCTAGCCATGCTCCTTTACTGAAATATTTGAAGGGCCCTCAAAAAGTAGTCACAGTTTGACGCAGGCATGTAATTTATGCCAAGTTTCTTTAAGGTTAGCTGGCCTAATTATAACATCTTTGATTCCAGAGGTTTCAAACTAGTTGCTGACTATTCAAAAGACTACTGAGGTTAGTCGTTCAAACACAGCCAAGAACTTCTCCTTATTGATGAGTTACTGTTCTGACTTCAGTGGAATTATTCACGTGAGTAAGAACTCTATGTGGTAGTAAGTGTTAGCAGGATACTGACCTAAATGGGGTAACAGTGAAGCACCTTAGAGATTTCCCATTGTGCCAAAGTGCTTTGGTTAAAATAAACAGCAGCCTAAAAATGCACATGACATATGAAACCTTATCAGCAATGTGCATGTTGCCTCTGAAGATTCCTGCTTCACTATTTACGTTCATTTGGTCAACCCACTAATTAATGAACCAGGGAGCTCCAGGACTGGAAACACAATTTCAGCTGGAGAGCCAGGGCTCTCTGGCTTGACTTGTAACTAACCAACATGCCTTGAGAACTTTACTTAGAAGGAGATAGATCCATCACTGCTATTGAACACACAACATTTATGCCAGTGTCAGAACACCATGATCAGATAAGCGAATGTATCCACAACATCCCAGCAAATTCTAGAAGGCCATTTTTTAAAAATGAAATATAAAACTCGGTTTAATCTTACGGAAAGATTTGGCTTTGGTTTGAAACTATTCACATTAAGCTTTTTCAGTAAATTTTTTGGGATCCCAGAAGTATATCAGCTTCTGGAATGGGAAGGCTGCTAACCTGAACAGTGTATATACCATACAGACTCTGATTAGGAGATGATTATCTAGTCATCACTATTGGTGAATTCAAATCCTGAACATCACCTAGTCATAACAATTAACTATGCTGTTTAAAGATATTTTTCAAAGGATTTTTCTAAATAGTTCATAGGAAATACTAATGTTTTTTTCTGACTTCCAGATGAAATCTGCTTTTAAAGTATATTTTCAGAACTGTTCCCCCAATCACACATGTAAAATGTATGAGATCTTACTTGTCCCTGTCCAGCATCAGGGGATATTCAAACTTCTTATTTTTTTCCATATGCTTGCTTTGCTCTTTAATTATAGTAGGAAAGGTAAAAACATCACAAGGCAAAATCAACCGGCTGATATCTGACAATTCAAACTTCCTGGGTTGTCCAAAGTAACCAAGATAGTATCCGTTCATGGCATGCCAGAGCCTACAGACATAGTAGAAGCAGTGCCAAAGGACAGAGAGAAAAAATGGATACTTTTAAAAGTGGAACAAAAGTAACAAAATATCTGTCTACATTACAAGTTCTGCAGCACTATTTCTAGAGTTCAGTATGCTAGTCATAAAGAAGTCAATGAGATTGAAGTTCACTGTTTATAACGTAAGTAACTCAAGAGTTAAAAAATCTTAGAAGGATGTTGTAAAAATCAGGAAAAAAAAGTACATCTTAATATCATGAACTGCTCCTACAGTAAGGTTCTGCCACCAAAGCAGGATCTACACAAAATTTCCTCATTGATTCCCCTAAAAACCCAAAAGAAACTCCTTCAAATGTACTTGTCACCCAAGAAGAAATTACAGTTGTCTATAAAGCATCTTCAGACTGCAATGATATAATTGCCTAAGCATTGCTTAGATCAATGCTTAGGACCCATGTCAATTTAGCAAGTATTGAAAGCTAAAATAGAATTAGAACAGGGGGTCATTTCTAAAATGATGAGGCCATTACATATGCATTCAAGGCCACCTTGCTGGAAGAAAATTACAGTCTCCACAAGGTCTGACTTCCTGAGAAACCTGCAAGTGTTACATTCAAAAATTAGTTCTTTCAGGTCCAGAGCAGCAAATGCATGCACCCAATGTTGTATTTTACTTAAGTTCTAACCTATATACAAGTCCATCGAGAAGAGGAACTGTGGAGATAGTTCAACTGATTTGCCATAACAATAAGAAGTATTAGTCATTTTTGTACCTGACTGAACCGTCAATAGATGCTGTCACTACCACGTTTTTCTCCTCTTCATGAAATAAGTCAACCACTTCAGTGGAGTGTGCCCTCCAGCAGAGCTCCTCCTTTATTTGCTGAGGGAAAAATGAAATATAACCACATTTCAGGTAGTTCTGTATGCCACCATGGTTGCAAGCTTAGTGGATTTATCAGCTTGGCTTTCTGAAAATTAAGAGATGAAAAAGTAATCCCTCCATGAAACAGCCTGCAAATGGCATATGCTGGAAACACCACTCTGGGGAAATGGGTAAATTCATTTTAATGTAGCCTCTCTGAACACAATGGAATAATGCTGACAGCATTTTACGTATGTTTTTCTTGTTTTTCACAGCATCAAGTTATTATTTCTAGCAAGAGACGTGACCTTTATGTGCAGGAAACATTTTTACTCCCTGTAGAGCTCTGAATCCATTTTTCTCTATTTGTCTTATCGTGGTATACTGTTCAAGTTAAGACAATCTGTCAGATTTTTCCTTACATTTTTACTATTTTCTGGATCTTCTAAGAATGAGGCAATGCTCCAGCGCATAATATGTCCCTCTGTTCAAGAAAGGAAAAAGCAAAACATCAATAAATTTCATTAGATCTACATGTTCACTGGTTGCTACCATATGTTCTTGGTAAACACTGGGCAGAATGAAGCAAAGGTTACAGGTCAGTGAAAGGTATTTTAAGGTGAATGTCACTATCTCATTGTCAAGCACAAAGCAAAAAATAACGGACCATTCATTAATACGCAAAGAAATATATATACTCTTTGTGAACAATTTGTCATTAACTGGACAGGTTTGAAATGGAAAGAACATAAAGTTTTTTCTTTAAATGAGTAAAAAATAGATAACTGTCTTGACAAGATTATTCTTATTACACAAACTAGCTATGAGAGCTTCCTGGGGATGAAACTGTTTTTCAGTCCTGGTAAAATGGACGAAGTTTGATTAATTGCATACATAATGAAAGCTTAATGTTTTACAACTGTTTAGTGCAATCATGTGAAACTAGAATCAAAGAACCATTTTCCTTAGGACCCTTGCTCCATCCAACTTCTGACAGCATAAGAGCAGGAAGCTGGCAGGAAACGGTTCTAATAGGTACTTTAGAAGGAAAATGACACATTAAAGGACAAAAATCTTGTATGACAGATGCAGAAGAGGAAAATTGCCAGAGTGATTCTAAACGTTTGGAGGAGAATCACATGGCAGATGAACTCTTGGACTTTCTGCCAAATGAAAGCCAGATTTGGTGTGACAAATTGTCTAACGATGAGCTGCTAACATAGACCACAAGTGCTTTCTTTCCTTATATAGCAGCGTACTGCTGAAGCCATTACTGTGCACTCTGTAACAGTGTCTGAATCATGGCTCTTGGTACAGCCACAGCTGCAGGGTTTTTTTTAATTTAGTTTTATTACTGTGGATGTGAAATTTTTGCTTGTTCTCAGTAGTAATCTTTGCCCTTGGTATTAATACAGTAATTCAAATGAAAAGTAAATGCGGAGCTTGTGAATAAAGAAAATTGTAATGTCTTACAAAAACAATTCTACTGATAATGCTATTAATGTAATGCTAAACTTTAATCTACCTTTCTTTTATACCAGAAAATACCTTTTTCAATTATTTAATTGTAGCTTTGATGGAGAAAGTCTAGCAGCAGTTGGACTTTTATTTCCATGTTTCTGCCACATCTACAGCGTGCTATTTTGTGGTCCTACAAACTGTCCTGAACAGAATGATGGACATGTTTACTCACCCCTACTGCCTGCCAAAAGCATTGTAGTGGAGATGTCTGTACATAGTGCTGTCAGAGGAACTGAAGGATATTTTGAAAATGGCGAAAGTTCTTTCACTAAGTTTCCCTAAAATAAATAAACAAACACACACATATTTCTCTTAATAATAGCTACATGAAAAAAAAATAATCAGTGCATCAGAAGTTGAGTCTCATTGATTTGATTATTACATAGATTTGAATATTACTCAGCTCATATCTATTCAGAAAGCAGTTTAAAAAGTAGTTTCCTGATCTACTGAATGATCAAGAGAGCTGAGATATATTGTTGTTCTGGACTGCCATCTCTTCTACATCAAAAGAATAACCTATTTCAGTCTTCAAGCAATTCACAATCTATCTGTATCTACCCCTACTTTATAACCTATCTCTCATTTGCTGTGGAATATCATCAGTAAGCATCTCATTTGGTACCCAAATGCCTTTTCTTGCTGTAAATGGACCCACAATGTCCCCTTCACCACCTTGTTACATTTTTCAAGCAAGCACCTGTAGACTTTCTCCCTTACTACCTCTTCAAGTTTGGGAGGAGATGAGGGAGAAAGTCTTGCAGATAAGAAGAATCTTGACTGTGTCATTTATGTAATGATGGTATCACTGTCATCTGAACTTGGGGATTCCTACAGGAATCTAAGCACACTAATGTATCAGCCATGAAGACAAAAAAACCCCGAAGTCCACACCTACTGTACCTGCGGACATTTACTATTCTATTGTATTTTTGCATAAAACATCTGCAAAGCTACCTTACCATCTTTCTGGAAAATTCTCCCTATGACTTACCTTTGCTAGGATTCTTGTTAAAGCCTTGCACAGCTGACATATTGTGATCACTGTCTACCACAATGACAGTGAATAACTAGTATTACCTACTAGTGCTAACTGGCTTGTGCAATGTTGCAGAGATATTTCGCTTTTTCTGAGAGTAGGACACTGTGCGTTGCCTATCATCCTTTCTCAGACAGTAAATGATGTGGGTGAAAAATCAACTTCTAGACTTTCACGTAACTTTGCAGTCAGTTTTTGTAACAATTATTTCAAAACTTTTTTTTTTTCTACTAGCCATTACTCTCTTCTACATTTATTAATGCAGAACTAATTTGTGTCCATGGAAGAAAGTATTGAGAAAAAATACAATAAAATATATGCTACTGCAATTACTAGTTAAAAAGCATATTTCCAAAGATTAGTTGAATTGTGTTCTTAATGGTACGGTCCCATCCCAAAGACATTCAGATAGTTACCTGAATACTCCATAGGCAGATACAGCCATTTTCATGAGCAGACGCCAGTACTGGTGAGTGTTCTGCTACAGCTTTGGGTGATCCACTTATCTTCAAGTACTGGATATCCTTATACTTACTTGTGTCTTCTGCTTTGGAACATAAATGATAATACATTTTCTCAACAATTTTTATTACTGCTTTTGAATACACAAAAATTACATAACATTATAAAAAAAGTAAATTTGAAAATAAACTCCATCATCAAGATGGCATTACTCTGAAAACATTACAGATATGGATAAAAGAAAACTGAAAATAAATTTGAAGAATCTTCATGATCTTATCTAAAACAGCCAGTTCTGTGATATGGATGATCCATATTTACAAAACGGCAAAAGATTTTACAGAAACTGCAAGCACCACTGAGAGTGGAGGACTGCAAGACAGTGGGCATCAGGACAGCTGAGAGGCTGTTCTGCAGCCTCTGCATGAGGCTGCTAAAGATTACTATAAAATGAGCAATGAAGTGAAGTTTAATAACTAAATGACACTTAACAATCATGGAATCATAGAGTTTTATACTTACTTATCCAGTTTAAAACTTTTGCTAAGTGCAAGGTGGTGCTTACAAAAAACATTTTTGAGTTTCTGTTGTGACTTCTCCAGAGATGGAGATGCTGGGTGGGTTCCATGAAGGTCTTCAGTGAAATGGTCATTCCTTGGATGCAGGACCTAACATGATCATCTATTTCATTAAGCTCCTGCAAGGCTTAGGGGTATTCTGGTTTAAGGGCATGTTTTCTTTGCAAAATAAATTTGGCTTAAATCCACATTTCAGGTGATCAAATTTCCTGCTATTAGGAAAGTCAGCTTTCTAGCAGAGGATGTGTAAAGGATTTGGAAAAATCTAGTGGATTTACTTCTTGCAAATTTACTGACTCCATTTGCACAGCTTTAACTCCTACACACTTGGCTCTCTCTTGTTTCTGTTCTTTTAAGGATATATACTCTAGGGAAGATCTTTCCTTCTGAAATTCCATCTGCTTTTGAAGATTTTGTCTGTGATGCCATTCACTTATATTTGACTCAAGTTGGCTCTTGCTATACCATTTCAATAATTCATTGTTCAAATATTTATGTGGAAGAGAAGCGTGTACAATTGACATTCTCAAATTCTGAAAGGATTTCAGCATCATGTCTATTTAGAAATATCAGCAATTAAGTCCTTGCATATCCTGCATCCTGGCCTGACTTTTGGGAAATAATTGCACATCAGGGCTGAGCAAAAGACATTGAGATGTGTCATCCACATACCAACGGTATCCCAATTATTCTAAACACAGTTTTCCAGACAAACTGACAAACTCAGTTTCTCTGGTAATCTGGGCAGAACTCATGGATCAGCAACAAAGAGAATGAAAAACAACATCTTTCCATACCTGTTGTTATTTGAATACTAATATCCTCACTTTTTACGTTTTCCTAAAAGCAAGGAATAAAATGTTACAGAATTAGAAAATAGATCTTGGGTGTAACTACAGAACATTTTTCTAATTGAAATTATTTTAAGAACTTAATGTTTTTTAATTGAAAGATTCAAACATTCCCTAATTTCCATTCCATCTGGGACAGTACTGAGTGAAAACAAGAAACATTTCATATGAAGAAAACCATATCACAGATGAACAAATCACAAATGAATTAATTGGAATTTAGGAGCATGCTAAAATTAAATTTAGCTGATTGGCATTAATTTCTTAGGACAAGCAAAGTCAATCACAGTCATGTGAATGTAACCCAGATCTCTTACTTAGAGAGTTTAATTTATTATGTGCATATAGTCTTGCTACTGCCTTGAGCAAAGATGAAAAAACTGCATAAAAGGCAATAACGTTTACTTACAGCTTCATCTTCAATCTAAGAACTGTCATAGTCTTTCCTTTGTGCCTTACTCTATAGGTTTCTGAGGATCCACAGTAGTTAGTATACTGGCCTCAAAAATTGCCAAGTCAAATAAGGCAAGAAAAACTGTACAGCCATGAGTGAGGTATCTTAGAACAGGATAAGCCACTTCGATCTCATCCTACCTATTGATCTGTAAGGCTTGATGAGTTGGGCTTATGGGGATCTTTTCAAGAGCTGCAAACGTCTGTCCATTTTGCTATTCTAACTACATAGCACAAGATAATGTATACTTTAGTTTGCCGGTGACAGTTAGGCCTGTATCTACTTGGGAATCTATGAAAGTGCCACGCTCTGCTGAAACAAAATGCTGGAAAGAATCGGAGAGGTAGCAGGACTTTCCTCTTTTTGCCTGCTTGCTATTTGCTGCTCTGCAGATATGGCATGTTTTTCTGGCATAAAAGGACAAAAAGTGTCACAAAAATCATAATGCTATCCATAACAAAAAATACACAGATTGAGACGCTGGCATCTTGATGATACATTTAAAAAAATTATCATACTGTCATTTAAAAGCAATGTATCCAAGCAAGTGTGGCTGCAATGTAGATGTGGTTCCACTTTTATTTGGGTACTTCATGACTGTCTATTTTACCTTCCCCATTGAGTTCTTCTGTACCCTCATTTGAAAGTCAGAATTGCTAGCGATAAGCATCTGACAATCACTTTGATGATCAGCTATTCTGTGTGTCACAGAGCCAGCTGCCTGACAAATTGTATTCTTAATTCCCCGCCTTATTCAGCTTAGATCAACAAAGCTCATTTCTCTGTAATTCTTGATATTTAGTTTCGTGCATGGCTTTATGAAGGGGTTTTAGTAAGCTACAGGATTTTAAAAGCAAAACAAAAATGAAAACAGAAATTTGTTTTGAATGCTACCAAATCTGTGAAGCCACTCTACCTACCTTATGTAGGTTGAAAGAACTGCTCCTGTGCTCTGGAATGGCCCTGAAACTGTGCCTCACAGCAGCAGCAGCAGAGGGCATGGAACTAATTTTCCTGTGTGAAAGAAGTTATTGGAGATCACTGACATTCTTGCAGATCCTGTTTGCTATCTGGAAATCAACATCATCCAGTGTATTAAAGCATAGTAAAACAGTGCCTGAATTGATTAGACTGATTAGACTAAGGGTTGTTGGTGTTTTAGAAATGTATCCAGGTAACTAGGCAATATTTGCATATTAAACAGCCAGCCTTTCCTGTCAGGAGTTTTGAACAAATTAAATCCATAGTAAATCAAAGTTAACACTAGTGTTCATCCTCAAGAAGCGGAGGGGAAAATTTCAATGCCAATGGCTTGTTCTCTTTCATTTCACACAGTCCTTTGCTCTGCAAATAATTCTCAACTAATTATAGAAACTTATTTTCAATCTTTTAAGATAATGGTCAGAAATAAGATTCTGTGGAAGAAACTCAGGAAGAAAATTTGGATGTGGCCTTCAATGTTTGTGTTTCTTAGTCAAGAAAAGTTCTGACTGTGCTAAAGAGAGGTTCTTGCCACATAACTTACACCAGTGTCACAACTGCTCTGTTTTTGACAAAAATATCTGAATAACTGATAATATAAAACCCATATGCAAAGTGTGCAGCTAGGGTAGCCCACTTAGAACCATAGAATAGTTTGGGGTGGAATCGACCTTTAAAGGTCATCTAGCCCAACCTCCCTGCAACGCGCAGGGACATCTTCAACTAGATCAGGTTGCTCAGAGCCCCATCCAACCTGACCTTGAATGTTTCCAGGGATGGGACATCTACCACCTCTGGCCAACCTGCTCCAGTGTTTCACCACCATTATTATAAAAAATTTCTTTGTTGTATCTAGTCCGATTTTTTTCCCTCTTTTAATGGCTTTGTCTATCACAACAGGCCCTGCTAAAAAGTTTGTCCCCATCTTTTCTGAAGGCCCCCTTTAAATATGGGAAGGCTGCTATAAGGTCTTCCCAGAGCCGCCTTTTTTCCAGGCTAACTCCAACTCTCCCAGCCTTTCCTTATAGGAGAGCTGTTCCATCCCTCTGACCTTTTTGTGGTCCTCCTCTGGACACACTCCAACAAGTCCATGTCTTTCTTTTACTGAGGACTCCAGAGCTGGATGCAGTACTCCAGGTGGGGTCTCACCAGAGTGGAGCAGAGGGGCAGAATCACTTCCCTTGACCTGCTGGCCACACTTCTTTTGATGCACCCCAGGATACGGTTGGCTTTCTGGGCTGCAAGCGCTCATTGTCGGCTCATGTCCAGCTTTTCATCCACCAGTACCCCCAAGTCCTTCTCAGCGGGGCTACTCTCAATGCCTTCATCTCCCAGCCTGTATTGATACCAGGAGTTGTCCCAACCCACGTGTAGGACTTTGCACTTAGCCTTGCTAAGCCTCATGAGGTTCACACAAGCCCAATTCCTGAACCTGTCCTGGTCCCTCTGGATAGCATCCTCTCCCTCAGGCATGTCAACCACACCACTCAGCTTGGTATCACCTGCAAACTTGCTGAGGGTGCACTCTGTCCCACTGTCTATGTCATCGATGAAGATATTGAACAGTACTGCGTTCAATATGGACCCCTGAAGGACACTGCTTGTCACTGATCTCCATCTGGACATTGAGCTGTTGACCACTACATTCTGGATGTGACCATCCAGCCAATTCCTCATTCACTGAACAGTTCACCCATCAAATCCATATCTCTCCAACTTAGACAGAAGGATGTTGTGGGAGACTGTGTCACTGGCCTTAGAGAAGTCCAGATAGATGATATCCATAGCTCTTTCCTTTTCCACTGATGTAGTCACTCCATCATAGAAGGACACTACATTGGTCAGGGAGGACTTGCCCCTGGAAAAGCCATGCTGGCTGTTCTGTATCCCCTCCCTGTCCTCTGTGTGCTTTAACATAGCTTCAAAGAGATCCCAGGATCCTCCTTTCTACCCTTTTTTAAAATGGATGCAATGTTTCACTTTTTCCAGTCACCAGCAACTTCACCTGACTTGACTTTTCAAATGTCACGGAGAGTGGCTTGGCAACTACTTCAGTCATTCCCTCAGGACCTGGATGCATCCTGTCAGGACCAATAGACTTATGTATGTTCAGGTTCCTCAGGTGGTCACAAACCTGATCTTCTCTTATAGTGGGAGGGACTTTACTCCCCCAATCATTTAGAGGACAAAAGGACAGCTGAGTGGAGTGGTAAAAAAAGAACATATAATTAGGATTGATAAACTACAAAAATTTCAGGATGGGAAAGCTAATTAACTATTTGAACCTGAATTGATTACATACAAAGAAGATCTCAGTTTGAATGAGCTATCTTGGAGAAAAATTACATCAGTGTACTACAACAAAATTCCAAATGACTGAGCCAGTCCTGGGGGAAGATAAAATGTGCCTTACCTGGAAAAGAAAGCACTAGGTACAAGGAATAGCATGGCATTGACTCCAGATGCTTGAAGAACTGAAGCCTGGCTGTCTTCATTCATTTTACACCTGAAAATAAAGGTGTTTGTACAGGGTGTGTCATATAGGTTACCTATTGTTCCCAGAAAAAAGCTGCAGACTTTATTTGTAATCTAAAAAATTAAACATTTAATTTCTCAGAACACAAGTCACCTAAAAGTTTTAGACACAGTTTTTCAGAATCAGTTAATCAGTTCTGATGGATTAATGTCAGTGAAGAGTAGGTATAGAATGTGCCTGTGCCAGGAAAACCAGGAACCTGATGGAATAATGAACACATTATTCAGCCAAATATTTTCTTGAGAATTGGTATTTAAGAGAAAAGTAAAGTAACTTATGTTGAAGTTAACTAGCTAAGTTAGAAAAGTACCTTTTTCCTAGCATTCAAGACAGTCATGTGAACCCTGGGTAGAATAGTCTACTTAAAAAGCATTGACTTCCCCATCTTCCATGAGTTCACATGAATTCCTCATATATAGGGAGGCAAAAGCAAAGCATGACAGAGCCAGAACTGCATTAAGTTTTGAATGGTTCCTGTGCTACAGAAAAACTCAGCTCACTTTCTCACAAACATGCCAGTTTTACACATGACAGATGCTGTGAAAGTATTGGGTAGGATAGATAAATATTGACTTTGTATGGTCTTAAAAAGCATGTATTCCATCACCAGCACAGAAATACTGCTGTGCTGCTCCACTCAGTCTAACCAGACATGTTGTCATCCTTCACTTTCCCGACGTAGCAGCTTAATCTGCAGGAGAATGTCTGGAACCATCCTACCCTCCTTTTTTTGTTACTTTCTGTGAAAGGTTTTTACTCCCAGACCTCCAAAATCACTTCAGATTTCTCCTGGTTGAATGCAAATTCTAGTTTTCTAGGTATAGACAATACTGATAATGTAGCATATCTGCCATTATCATCCAAAGTGACAATATTTCCAGATGTGCTCCCAAACTTGAAACTTCCAAAATAAGGATGGTTCTACAGCTCAGTAGCAGCCTCTAGTCAATAACAGAGTGACTCACACAGTGAGAGTTCTTCAGTGGCAGGGCCAAGTTATGTTAAAACACTATTGTTAATTCCATCACCTCTTCACCAAATGAACCTCTGTCTTGATCACTTCTTCTACATGCAGTGTCAGAACTAGCTAGAAAAGTGATTTGCAGTGGGAGGCAGAGGGGACAGATAAATTGCTACTTTAACTCCTAGTTATCCATCACCCTTGACAACTGAGTATCTTAGAAGTTCCAGTATGCCATTTGAAATGTTTGTATGAAATATTGCACATCAAAGTGCCTCCACGAAAGCAATACTTACAGGCATCTCACAGAAGCAGATTCAAAATCCCACAAAATTATTGTACCGTTTGCACTTCCTGTAGCTATCAAACTGCATCCTTCTACTTTTAAAACATCAAAACACTTAATTTCCAGAGAAGGTACAAAATTCTACAAAGAACAGTAAAAAAAAATAAATGAGTAGAAGCAATGTGGACACTAGAGAGTGAAATGTTTTAGCTGTTAACTTAATAAGATGCCTAAATTGACAGTGTCTTTAACAAGTGCATATTCAGTGTTATTTTAATAGTATTGTATTTGAGCTACACAGAAGCACCAGAAGGAAGCAGGGAGTGATAATACCGAGAGAGTCCCTGCTGCAGAGGGTGGGAATCTCCATCTGCCAACCTGACCTGCTATCTAAGGCAGAGTTGCAATTAGAGCATGTAAAAACAGCTGTAAGAACTGAAGATTAATCAGAAGTAGGTGTCTACAGGTGTCTACTCTAATCAGGTGAAAGGAATAAGTCACTGAACAGAGGTATCGTGACCTTTCCATAAACATCATCCAGATTGCGGCAACAAAGGGCACAGCCTCCGCCAGGTGGTGAAGCGAAGACGTTTAATGTTTTATTTTTACAGCATATATAGTTTCTCTCTTTTGATCACGTGCTGTGCTCTCTACACAGATAGGTTGTGGAGCCTGTCCACATGCTGTTGTGAGCAATACAATTGGCTACATAGAAGTGTTCATGCGCCTATGTTATCCAAACATTATTATCTGTTATTTTCCTCACTAGATTTCATACCACACAAATAATAATACCATATAAAGACATTGTTTTACTGTTCTCAAGGCTTCCTTCCCATCACTGCAAGAACACCCGCCGAGCTCTCGCTCAGCAGCGCGTCTCCACAATTCCTCACTCCCCACACCAAATCTCTTACAAAGTTAGTGAAATTATACAAAACAAAACTGAAGTCTCATGGACTATTCAAGTTAAACTGGTCAACAACTGAAACACAAATTTGGCATCTTATATTACCAAAGCAATAAGAGAAAATGGAATCACTTTAACACCCAGCTTGATCTTTATGTGCCGCTATTACTGAAGGTCAGTCTGTCTGTAGTAATGAACAGCATTTAATTTCTAGAAGAAGTCATACAAGAACCCCGACTAACTATTTTATGCAGGAATGTGAAGTGTATGTTCAGAGCAGCTGCTTCATCATGGCGACAGCCATGCAATGGATTATTAGGCAGAGATAGCCCTTAGAAACCATCACTTTCTTACATGATTTATTTTAGACCTTCAGTGTACTGAAAAGTTTGGAACACTTATTTGGTTCTCATGCTGTCATTCAGACATTAAATCCTTGAGGGCATGGTAATCATTTTAGTTTCTAATCTTCTGTAAATGATGTGAAACTTTGAAGTGTTTCTCACCTCTGTATCCACTTGCTGAGAAGCGGGCTCCGACAGCAGCTGAATATCCGGAAAAAAATGGGTTTGTAAAGTGTCAGGTTTCAATGAAAAAGACACAACTGGATTCCTTCGTGGAAATGACACAGACTCAGGAAGCATCCATGTGACATACAGATATGACTGAGCTGAGTTACCCTATTAAAATAATTGACTTACTTAATGAAAGAGGAACAAAGGATTTCTCTATTCGTAAGAAAATGATCACCAAGTGTGTGGCAAAAGCTTGTTACTGTGCCAAAGTACAAAGAGCATTACAGACTTCACTTACCATGTGCCTACACTGCAACAGAAGTGCCAGCCAGAGATATTCCAGCTCACTTTAAATTATCTGCTGTTATATTAGAAGCTATTCAGCTGTGGTGCTCAGAGCTTTTGATTTTATGCAGTTTAACTACCCTCTTAAAGTCTCTTTAGTTATAGCTGCTTGTTTTATTAACACTGCTAGTCTCCAGTTCATATCTACCATACAGCAAAACTGGTGGTTGTTCCAATTGTGTGAGAAGAACAAGCCATGGTTCAGCCATGGCCCCGAGTCACTGATTCTTCCCCATTGTGCCTAGAGGTGACTGGGAGTTACCCTGTTTGTCACTGGATACATTTACATTTCATGAATGATTTAACATTTTGAGTAATAACACTGGGGGGCAACTGGTGTGATGCAGTATTTCAGAAAAATCTGAATATCAAAAGCAAACTCTCTATAAAATGGCTTTTCATTTTCAGGAGGTTTAAAAGTAACAAATGACTTACCAAGATGAGAATTTGTATGTTTTTTGCCCTAACTGTGTCATTTCTCTAATAAAACTTGTGACTTTTCCCTGCAACCTTTGTTCCCTTGCACATAATAGCTTTAAAGTTTCATAAGGACAATTTTGTCCAAAGTAAAACATTTCAATTTGAGGGAGAAAATTCTAACCAGTCTCAGCTGCTGGTGAACTAGAAGTTCTTTAAACAGGGTAAACACTCTCTATTATAACAACAGTAGTATGTTAAAGCTTTTACCTTTAAAGACCTTTAACTAATGAAACCTCTATCACAAACAGAAAAACATTCAGGTGCCATTATAATAAGTGCATGGAAAGAAAATATCAGAATGCTGGAAACCTGCAATGGACTCATGAACATATTAACACTTAGATAGTAAAGCAGAAAGCTAATTTGATGATATGCAGAAAATGGATTGTTCCCTGACAGCTTCTAACGTTTGTCTACTAATTAATGAAAAAGTCTTATTTTACCTTGAAAATTATGAGCTACCAAATGAATTAGAAAAAAAATATAATTATATAAGTATATTTGAAAAACCTGAATGATTTTAATCTTTCCACTCTGCTCCAAAACAAGAAGTCCATGTTGACTCTCATCAGCCTTCAGATAAACTATCTTCAGCAGACGACACTCATCTTTGCTGTGCTGGTCCAAAGGCAAGGCTTTAACTTCCTGCCCACTTTCAAACTCCCAAATTTTCACAGTTCCTACACAAGGATAAGAAAGATATAGAGAAGGTAATTAAGTTTCAGCAATAACCTGTGCTACAAAGTCAGAAATTGTAACTGGATCAGACAGGGAAAGGAGAAAAAAAAAAGTAAATCCAATTGAAGGTTCAGAGCTGGGTCACTGATCTTTCAAAAGATGCAACTGGAAAGCACCCTTAGGAACACAAAACTTACTCAAAAACATCTTCACCACTAGCACCATCATTTTTCTAACTGTTTCCATGTCTGTTTCATGCTGCAGCTCAAAGGATAAAAGTCCACTCCCTATCTCACTTCTGTTTCTGTACTAATGCCATCAGAGAGCAAGCAGAGTGGTGGGGCAGTCAGGCAGGTGACTTTGGGTTCTGAGCTATAGCAGGAAGCAGAGGGACCTGGTTGCTGGATTTGTTCCACAGAGTTAGTGAGGAGAAGGAGCTAAAGAATTATCTTAAGTGAAGCAGTTACTACATATGACTCCACATTTGTAAGACTTGAAAGCGTTCACCTTCTGTCGTGCTCTTAAGATCCATGAAGTGTGGAGTCTCTGCACCCAAGTATAAATAAGAAACATTAGCCAGTGTGCTGCATGGAAAAGCCCAACTCCTCATTATGTTAGGTAGCTTTCATATATTTTAATAATTCAGGTGTGTGCTCCTGAACACTCACTTCTGAATGTAAGAAGAATTATTCAGCCATGTTAACAGATTACAAAATTATCAAAGTTTGTTGCAGAATTCAGTGTAGCTCTTGTGCTTGTGTGTTGGAGAGGTCTTTTCACAGTACCTAGAACTGATGCACCCTAAATAACACAACCAAAAAGATCAGGAAACACATAGCTGTATATATTCTAGTGCTCAGTGCCTGCAGACACTATAAAATTGAGCTTGGATACTATAAAATTGAAAAACTGCCTTTCTCCATCTAGCAGCCCTTCAGTTACAGTGTCTAGGTTCCAAGTCCTATGAGGAATCATCTTTTCAGCCCAAGAACTTTGCAGATAGGTTTCCAGAGAGCAATAGGCTTGCAAAGTACCAGAGCTCAATCAGCCAAGAACCTTTCTATGAATCACCTGTCAAATAAAACACTGCCAAGACAATCCTCCCCCCGTTGCCTTTTTCAGCTGTGCATTCCTTTCTAGGCATATTCCTCTCATCTTGGAAGAAAGCCAAAAGTAATTTCTCTGTCACTGAGACAGTCAAGGCAAAGAGTCCTCTCTGCTCATGTCACATGTCATTTTAAATAAATGTATTAAAAATGTGGTAATTGTTTAATTGCTTTACCATCACATGCCCCAGTAGCAAGGCAAAAGCCATTTGTTTCAATGGCTGCACAGGTCACTTCAATATTCAGCCCATGCGCATCCTCAATCTGATATATTTGATATCCTGTTTCTAGGTCCCAGACCTGAAAAAATAAGATGGTAATTATTTGTACTACAATCTCTAAAACTCATCACACAATGGTTTCTAGTGTAATTGGAGAGACGAATATTTCCAAGAGGAAATTTTCATGTCCCATGAAATAGGTTCTCTGTTACAATAGCACACTACCATGTTCTTTTACTGAAATACCAGTGTAATTTCCCTGAAAATCTCTCCCCAGAGAAGCAATTCAAGCAAGGGGAGACTCTATTTAGTATGCTATGAGAAAGACCCTTGTTAAGTCAGGGAGACTTGTTAAACATAACGAGTTTTTGCAGGGCAAAAGCAAAGAAATCTAAATAGAAAGAATGGTTAGAGCTACAATTTCTATGCTGATTATCACAATGAAACTTTCCATAAACATTTGGTCCAGAAATGTAGGTACAACTATATCTGATCATTATCTTATCCTTTTGGGAATTTGAACTGCCTTATAATGAAGCAGCATTATCATTAAGTTTGGTTGCAGTAGTGAAATAGCTCAGATTCAACTGGATTTATGAAGTAGCCACTCATGTCGTATGCACTGTCTGCATTTTCTGCAGCTCCAAGTGCCTAAAACTATCTTGTAATTGTAATGGTAGCATAGCCATGGCGGTTTAAGGAAGGCAGGGTTTACAGTGAGAACTAAGATCTTTGCTGAGTGTATAAAATGAACAAACCTTTACACAAATGAGGCTTCCTCTGCAGGAATGACATGCATCACCAGCTGACCGAGTAAGAGATGCAACCACCCCTTACAAATCTTGTCATCTGACCCCACCAAGAGTTAATCAAACCTGCAGGTCCTTGATACCCCTCACAATCATTGTCACACTGTTAATTACACCAGTAACGATTCGTTTTATTAAGCTGTGGGTTTTCTGACACTTGCATGGCAACAACTTTTAGTGGTTCAAATGCAAATGGTAAAGTTAATAGGCAAATAGAATCTTTTCATGAATGTTTCAACACAAATAGAACTGTGATAAAAAGTGATAAAAGTGATCTCCATCACTTTATTTTTCTTGTTAACTGGCTATTATAATGAACACATCTCCCTCACTGTATGAAATCCTTAAGGCTCAAAATAACATGTTCTATGGGATTATTTGAATGAGGAAAGAATCTACAGAAGGTCAGGAAATTGGCTCCAGAACTGCTAGCCAAATAGAAGCAGATCAGACAAAAGAATAAGAAGCAAAACAGGAGGTTAAAAAGTCAGAGCTTATAGCTGAGGCATACCGTATGTGTCAATGAAACTTTTCAATTTTAGTGAAGAAAAGTGGTATGTTTTATACCTGCTTTTACAAAGCGACTTTTTTCGTGTTTTATACTAATCCATAGAATGTCCAAAGTATATGTTTATATTCTACTAAGTTTACTGCGACTCAAGCACTTCCTAAACTTTAAAGAGAAGCTTATCAGATATGCCTTCCAAATTGAAGAATAATGTGTAATTGTGCTTGCACGAATTGCTGATTGAATGTACACTTTGACATCATGGAAGTTAAAACTTTCCATTGTAGCTACTAATTAGACAATGGACTTTCACTACTATTGCTCTACTTGCAAGAATCCACTGCAGGAACAGGTGAAGTGTACCTGTTCAGCCAAAGGAAATAAAATTACAACTAAATCCAGCACCTCTAAAGCCTTGCTCAATCTGCCTAGTACTTGCAGTGCGATGATGTCAGTGCAGGTCAGAGAAGTAGTTTTCTGACAAAAGTAATGCTGCTGAACTAGTTTATTCATCATGACTACCACTTCCCTGGAGAATTCGAGCACAAAAATAGCCACAAAACCAACAATTTGAATAATAAACACTAATAACTTATCTTACTGCCCAGTAACTTATTTGTAACAAAAAAAGCTGTGACTTTTCCAGTTTAAATGGTGACAACTTACACTCACCTTTAGTATTGACTCAGAGCAGATAGTGAGAATCTGGTGAAAAACCCTGTTGTAAACCAGAACATTGATTCTTTTCTCATGTGTCTGTGGCATCTGTCTTGTGGCTTGTATCATATGAGTTAGGGAATAAATATTAATGACAGTCAAACCTGCACAGGGTGAGAGGAGTGAGAATGTACAGATTTTGTGTATAGTATCAGTTACTTTCCCTGGATTCAAAAAGATTTTATGTAAACCATAGGGTTCATTTGAGTTCTTCTGAAGAGGATAAGGAATATTGTCTGTTTCTTGAGAATATCTGTTCTCTAAACCAGAAAACAGTCACACATGCTCTCTGCACAAAGCACCAGTTAAACAATGGCTAAGTATTTATCTGCCTTAAACAGCCACCTGCACACCTTTGATGGGATTGATACCCTCACTCCAAATCCTTAGGAGCCATAAATCCCCCCAGTCCCAGAGTGAGTTGGTGTGGAATGGAATAAATAAATAAAACTCTAACTGGCAGATATATCACTAAAATAAATTCTGGTATCCACTTTCTTAGAGATAGTGCAATTCCATCTGCAGGCAATGACAATGTTCTTTCCAGTATCTTCCTTTATATGGCACTGCAGGTCTGAATGGTGTTTTCCAGACACCTTCCAGTGCTAATCAGAAGGGTTGCAATGACAGAGAGGCAGATGGGGAAGACAAGACAAAAGAAAGGATGGATTTTTTACAACGCAGGCTCAAGCCTCCCTTTTCAGTTCTGGTATTACTGCAGTTCTACCAGCAGAGGAGCAGCAGTCAGCAGTGAGTGGGCAGCAAAGGACGAATTTGTCTAATACGTGACTTGTATTAGAGGCCAGCAGCTTGGAAAAGGCACAGAAGGAAAGCTGTGGCAAAATTCAAATGAAGCATGAAGGTGATCTGTCATTTATGGATGTTAGTGAACTAATTACTGAAAATACCCTCTGTAAAGTCAGGTACATCGCAATGAGAAGTCATTTGCCCACATATAGCCTCAGTCTCTTGCCCTCTTCAGGGACAAGGAGATATTCACTTAGGCTTTTAATTGAATCATTAACAGAGTCCAGTACCAGATTTTTACAGCTATTTGGGCACTGCTCCAATCATTGTTTATAAGGGTAAAGTTACCTCTTTTTGTCAAAGATTTATCCATGTAAAATCCCTACATTACTAAGCCTTGAAAGTCTCACTGACTTAAATTTGAACTGAAGATCTTATCTATATCCTTTTGTGATTAGAAATCTTTAAAAAACTAGGCTGATTAATATTCTGGGCATTTTTAAAATAACACCTAGAACTTGAGGTTTCTTAGGCTTTGCAGTGCTTTCCAAATGCCTAAATACATATAGCAACGTGTGGACTCTAGCTCAGAGTATATAATTAGGCTCCTAAAACAGGTTTATTGGCACAAAGATTCAGCAGAAACTACCAGGTCACTGAAAACAAAATGTTTCACATTCATCTTCTCAGATTTGACAAGCTTTTCAAGCTTTGTGCCTTGTTCCTTAGACCAAGGACAGAAAAAGCTGTCTCCAAAGATAATGACCTTATTTGCCTGGTATGTCTCAGGCCTCTGTAGCCCCAGAACAGGTTCAAAGCTGGTTTTTTCTCAGCAACTGTGCCTCTGGTGCAGACAAATGCTGCCGGTTTCCAGAGTCTCTGCCTTAGATACAGAAGTCTAGCATCCTTAGTGACATTGGTGAAGCTCTGGTCCTTCCCTTGAAGGTTCCAGGCTCCCTGCTACAGACTCAGGAAACAGAGCCCAAAAACCTTGTGATGAGTTCCTATAAGGTTTCATTCCTCATAATCGTACAGTGCGTCTGTTGACACTACAGATTGTGGGTCTTTCTAGCTACTGAGTTAAATAAAGAGTTTGAATACACTTGTAAGAGCTCTGCAGAGTCTATACTTCGCTGCTTTGATCTCCAAATGGGAGGAGGGTGCTGGAGGAATAGTTAGGGTAAAATCAGCAACTTAGTACCTTTCAAGAAATGACAAGGCTACAGAACAATATCTGTAGTTTATTTTTTTCTAAGGAAGGCTCACCTTGCCTTCAGAGAAGACTTTCTCATTTCCTCTGGTTCCTGCTGTTAATTCCCATGCTGCATTTTTTCATGCATATTTCTATCTTGAAATTAGCACCCAATATAACAAGACACACTTTAAAATGGTCCTAATGTGCAAATACCCTTACCTCCCAGTAATCTGTATATCCCATGTTATTCCTGTACTCAACTTCAGTTGTATGCAATGATAAAGGAAATTGCATTCTAGGAGAAGGGGGATGGATGCTCTCACATATGAGCTGCAGTAACGTACCGGTGATAAGCGTGCCACGATCGTTGTCAAATACCATGGCAATGGTCTCTATCTCTCCAGGACAACCTTGATTATCATGGAAGACTTGCAGCAGTGAAAGGGTCCGGATATCCCACACTCTAAAAATCTAAAGGGAGAGAGAGAGGAAAAAATCCAGTGCTGTATGATGTATCACATTGGATTTTCAACTACTTTTTGTTTCTATGACAGTAATATTACAACCTACAACGAAAATCACACTGTTAAGCATCATACATCCCCAAATAAGCAAGGCAAATGCCAAAGGTATCTACATCCCCATTTGGCTAAGAATAAAAGGCGCTACCATACGGTGTATCTACCTGCAAGATAATCTTGCTATTCTCTCTAAAGTTATTCTGTCACCACCTCTTCCCTGTAATTCTTATTCACCTGCCAAAACTGTGGTAAATTTTATATAGACGTTTGTGCAAGTTATTTGTATTTTTTCAACTGTGTTAGGAAAAGGCAGGGCTGCATTTTTAATTGGGATTTTAACACAAAGACACATGTTGGTACAATGCTTCCATCGATACTGGGAGTGTTGTGGGTGTTTACAAAAATCATTGTATCTTTGGATTAAATGCTCTGTAAAATGTAAGCCCATAAAACACTTCAGCACAAACCCATAAAATATTCAACTGAATTTGATAACTGAGCTACATCTCAGAAATACTACATAAATAATTCTGCTTGCTGTGCTACAGTCCCTGGAGGTCTTCCTCTCTCAGCTGTTCCTTATTCTTAACTTTGTCACTCAGTTGAGATCTCAGTGGCTTTTCTTAGGTGATCTTGATGCAGTTAGTCTGCAGTTAGTTCTAACTTCATAGTCCTGGCTGGGAAGCCCCCTGACTGGGGCTGGGCTGCTGCTTCTCTAAAAGAGCAATAATTTTAGGATATCTGATGAGGAAAGAAAAAAAAATAATCCTAAGAAATATCCTAGGGAAATCCAATGCCATTTCTTTGATTCATCCCAGGATCTCCTGTAGTGTGACTGTAGTAAAGGCAGGTCCAAGTCCCAAGATGTCCGCAACAAACAGCTTGGGTGCAGATTCTTGCATTATATTCCCAAAAACTTACTTAATTCACCCACAGGTAAAAGCAGGTGTACATTAGCTTCCTTGTGGAAGCTCCAGTCCAGTAAGCCTCTTGAAACCTGCCTAAGCAGCCATCCATAACAGATGGGGATTGTAACAGAAAAAGAAGCAAGTGGAATTGGGACAGCAAGACTGGAGGGTCATTTGGATATTACTTTTTTTTTTTTCTTTCTGACTGCTGTTTTAGATAGCACAATGACTGGCACCTTAGAAAAAAGAGATTAGACAAAACAAAGAATACAGAGCTCTGTCCAGCACTTTCACATAATTTCATAAAAGTTTTAATGACATCTACTTGCTAAGGCCATTAAGAAGTTATGCCACAGGAATTGACTTACAGCCAGTCTTATATCAAAAGTGCTAGAAACTACTGTCTGGTGCATAACTCAAATTCAGCCCAGTCAGTGTGCTATCAACCTATAAATGCTGGTGACTGGTAGGAGAAAGATGGATTAAATTATCATTAAAGACTTTTGATTTTCAAAGTAACTGCTTTTAGCTCATCTTGCCTAACACCAAGCCAAATATCTGACAGGAAGAACTCTGAGGAGGACAGCGCGTTCTGTCTTTAAAAATGCTTTTGAGAATGAGGAATACTTCACTTGTGAATAAGTTCATGTTATGAAAAGTTGATTGCAATTGCCAGCAATGCTTTCTTCCAAAGAAACACACTATATAATTAAGAATGAATGTTTGTTAGTCTGGATGTTATAAAATGTTGAAGTATCTCTGTTTTTTCACTTCAAAGAGGATCTCAGCATGGAAAAAACACCATTGCTAAAACCCCCAACCAAATAGAAGACTGTTCACTGTTTGCAGAATAAAAAAAAAAGGGGGGAGAAAATAATGCATGGAAATTAATCAGGGAGATACACAGATTGAGATTATCAGAATTTCCATCAATAACTTGATTTTAAAGGAAGTTGCAGAGGACCCAGCAAAATTCTGAAAAGGAAGGGAAGAAAAAAACAGATATACTGATCACTGTAAACACAGATCACCTTTAGCACCAGAGAGAAGTTCACACATGAGTGTTTCAGAATTTTTAAGTAGAAAGAAAATTTCTCCTGAATATTTGGTTTGTTTACAGGAAAACTCAAAGGGAAAAGGCTTTAAATAACTTCTTACTGAGGTTAAATTTTCTTTCAGACGGTACTGAATCAGAAGAACTATTATTCTGATAGATTTCTGATTACATTTCAGGAGTTTACTCAGACATGCGATTTCTAAAGCATACAAGAAGAGCTTTAGGAAGAAATAGACAGTGAGAAGGCTTGAAAAAGGAAATCCCATTGAATAGGAAAAATGATTAAACTGTTCATCCAGCTGACAGTTAACCAGCAAAAATAGAAAGAAGAATTGGTGTTGAAGATCAATAAAGTTAAGGCAATGTTGTAGGTAGATCTCCAAGTTCAATTCTGGCACAGTCACAACTAGAGCATGTAAAAACAGCTATAAGAACTGAAGATTAATCAGAAGCAAGTATCTATGGAGATACTCTAGTCAGCTGAAAAGAATAAGTCACAGAACAGAGATATAGTGACCCTTCCATAAACATCACCCAGAACTGTTACACAGTTAATAAAATTATACAAAACAAAACTGAAGACAGACAATTTAATAATCTCATGGACTATTCAAGTTAAATTGGTCACAACTGAATCATAAATTTGACAGCTTATCTATCAAAGCAATAAGAAAAGAGGATTTTTCAGCATGAGTGAATATAAATAAGAGCCTCTTGGACTATTTCTTGCTGCTTGTTCAGCTATTGATGCCGGTCGCACACTAAGACAATGCAGTTACTTAAAGTGACAGCAAAAACCTGGACACATCACAGCATTCATAAGTCTCTTCCCTTCCTTTTGGCCTTCTTCCTTTCCGAGCCCGTGGGCAGGGATGGGGAGATTACATAAAGCAGGGTTCCGCATGAGTAACTCCCACACAAGGCATCACCAGCATGGCCGCGAGATATAATGCCACTGCTCTTCATCTGCATCAGCACACACGACTGTGCATGAATTCATGCATGAAGAGAGGCAACAAAAGGCATGCTTATTTGGAAATTAGGAGGTTACTAGTGGGAGTTGCCCTAGGAATGTTTGGTTAATAGTAACATTGCCGTTGCACTTATTTATTGAAGAACTTCGCACAGCAGCCTGACAAATGCCAGGAATCCCTAAAGCCCTCTGAAAACATATTTATAGCAAAATGCTTCCAGACTGTGTCTTCTGAAATCACAGAAAACAGACTATATTCAAGCAAACAAAACACATTATGAAGGAGGGTGAGTGTGGAGAGAAGGAGCTTCAAGTGCTTTTGGAAATAACTTCTTTCCTTCTTCCTGCAGTTCCCACCTTCCAGGGAAAGCTGAGCTCTACTTACAGAAACATTGTATCAACAACACTGGCCTACATTAATGAAAACCCCGCTTCAGTTTGGGTGTTAGCAGAATTGTCTTTTACCCACAGCTAGACCTTCCGTAGGAGCTGGCAGAGCAGGGGTGCTTGCCCTGTTCCCACACTGTGGCCAGCCTCCTTCACACAGCTGGTAACCTGCTCAGAGGGACGCTGCAGGAACGCTCGCTGCCCCTCTTTCCCACCTTGGCTGCCCTCTCCAGGACCACAGCCTGGATCACTTCCCTCTCTTCTGGGTTGTTCTTCTTGTGGCTTTCATTTTTCAACCCAATGGCAAAACCACATCATTACAGATGGAACTTCCACAGACACCAAGCAAAATTAGGAATGAAATCACTCCAGAATTCAGTGGGAGTTCTTGCACTTCTTGCCAAAGCCTTCTGAGATCCCTTAACAAGTTTTAATGTGTACATTTACATACATAAATATTTTTCCTCAAGCACCACCTTCCCTAAAATTCAGAACATAGAAAAAAGCCTGAACCGTCTATTCCATCTGTTCTAAAGTCTATGTTTTATGAGCACGTAAAAACTGCAACACCCTTTACCTATTTTTCTTAATATACACACACAGAGAAAGAGCAAAAGATTCATCTTACCAACTAAAATGGGAACAGCAGAGGAAGACAGAAGAAAGATGAGCAACAGGGCAAGACAAATTTGGTAAATAAATATTCTACATGCTCTCAGTACAATAAAGTTCAGGCTTGGGAACACTGTATCTCCTGCTGGATTGTTATGAGAACACTCCCCCTTCGCCCCCCTCCCCACCAAAAGATACCTTCAAATTACTGCTAGTTAAGAACAAGAAAGTGACCTTAAAACACTGCTCTAAAGAAAACACCTCAACTCTCCAGAGAAAACAATAACACAGTAGCTTCCTTTTAGTGCTTCCAAACTCTCATATCTCTGAGGTGATACTTTCTGTAAGTTCGGGAAATTTTTTTTTTTTTGAAAAAGACAACTTTCCTCAGTTTTACAGAATAGTGATGCTGCAAGTGTTTAAAACAACCTATGAAAAAACCACTTATGCAAGAAAGTCCAATGTCCAACCACTCTTTGGGCAGAAAGAAGTTGCAGTAGCCACAGCATTCAATGTAGGCATAGACGGGAAGAGTAAGCCACAAATGAAGTTGATTTTCTGTTGAAGTGTTCAGTTTATCTGCCGCTATTTGCTACACTGTTCAGCTGTTTCAGAGAGGCATTGAAGGCTCCATGGTCTAAGTAAAAAAAAAATTACTATTTCATACAGAACATCTGAGCCCTCAAAGACAAAAATCACCAAGCATGAAGCAGAGGTTGAACTGGAGTTCTGCTTGCTGTGTTATTTAATAGAATAAGTTATCTGCTGAGAGTGCTGTTGTGTTTCTTGTGATCCCTGAAGGTGATCCTGCAAAGTACTACAACTCTCTGTAGTTATTAGAAGACTTAGGAACAAATTGATGTCAATGGGATTACTTGTGAGGCTAAGGCAAGGAGGATTTAGCTCTAAGCACATTAATGCAACGTGATGCAGCAGATGGTACTTTAACTACTGCCTTAGTGAGACAGCAGTTTGGTGAAATTCACAATTACGAACTTTTCAAATCACTTCCTCAAATAGTACCATTAACCTGGTAATATAGAAGGTTACTTTCCTCTTCCCAAACAGGGAGGAATGCTGTAAAGAAATCAAACTGGTTTATATGCAATAGTGAGTCTAATTGTATAGTAATGAACCTGCAGGGTATTTACTGGCTGCTATGCAATGACCGAGAGTGTGTACAGTCTCTGTGTGTCTGTCTCTGTACTTTGTGCTCAGTGTGCTGATGATAGACCTTCCTGACTGCTACAGCAAAGACAAAATAACCCTCAACGCTTTTGGAGAACAGTTTCAGTGGACACTTAGATGGTGTCCCTCACAGTAAAAAAAGTGTTTCCTGCATTTCCATTTTCATTTGCCTCTGGTCCTGTCACTGGGCACCACTGAAAAAAGCCTGGCTCCGTCTTCTTTACAGTGTCCATTCTGACATTTATATGCACTGATGAGATCCCCCTTGAGTCTTCTCTTCTGTATGTTAATTCTGTAGGGTTTGTTTGCAGACTATGCAAGAGACAAAGTAATTTGCATAACAGAAAACGGGACGGGAAATAACAGAAAATTGGGTAAGTTACATGAAAAGTCCAAATAAGAATACTCAATGTTCTTAAAGGATTACACAATATAAGAGGAGAATGAAGTTCATAATATCTGGGAGGAGCAAGTAAACAAAAGTGGATAAAAGCACAGTCCAAGGGAAGGATTAACTTTGACTTTCAAAGCAGCATACAAAAGATGTATCTGATACAGAAGTGACCACATAATTTCTGTGAAGGATGACTGGAGCAGATTTCCCAAATGCCTCTTTTTCAAATTATCTAGATTAAATTTAATATTGTTGATATGCAGTACATTTCAGTAACAGCCACGAAAATTAAACAATGTGCTTCCAGCTCAGCTGCTCTCGTTTTTCGGGAAGACAAATGACTGTATTATAAATATATCCTTAAAACAGTTTGTGTGCTTTCAAAATAGGTTAGATGATAAACATCCACCCTAACCTACACAGGCATTGATACAATCACCTGCTCAGTTCCAGACAGGCAACAGACATTTATGAATTCCCACTGGGATATCGCACAGCCTGTTTGCTATTAAGCAGATGTAGAGAGAGGACTGGAGACTGATAGCATTAAGGTTTGAGTAAATATTCAAAATTCAGAAAAAAAATTTAATAACATATATCTTCCATGAAAGCCTAAAAGTTGCCTTTGGGTTCTGTAAGAATAAAACTAACATAAATATAACAGAATTAATTTACTATGGGCAAATTTCAGCAAGGAAATGTTTATGTGATTGCATAAAATTGGCTGCATCAGATTTTGAAGAAATTATGAATGGAATGAAATTCTGCCATGCCCTAGAATAGACATGCAAGAAATCACCCTGTTTATTGCACTACTCTCCTACCATATGTAAATGCGTGCATTCCTCTTTCAGTATTAGCTGCCAAAAATTAAATTTCTTTCAAATAGAAAAAGACCGAAGAATATTCCCTACAGTGATTTAAACAAAGGTTTTGAGTTTCTTTACAAATGATACTGTACAGTGGCGTAAAGTCTGGGAATATATTCCTTACTCTCGTCCAACTGATCATCAAACAAAACTGAGATTGCTTTTATGCATTGAAGCCTGTAGGGTCAAATCTTGCTCACCTGACTACTAATTCATGTAACTAAAGGACATACAGAAATTATTCACAAAGCTATGGCTCTACCTAATTTGTAAGTATTCTTATGTTATAAACCCCAAAAAGTAAGTTTAAGTTTTGTGATAAGGGAATTTGACATATATATATATATATATATCATTTTTTTAATAACTACCTTACAGCAGTTTACTAGTAAATTGTTCTATTGTGAAATCCTTATAATATTGGAGCAAAGTGCTCATGTGCTGGACTAGTTTAAGGAATCTTCATTTTCTTAAATGGAAATGTTATTTGAGTTCAAACTCCAAAATGGCTTCTTATTTGTTCTTATAAGTTTGTTTTGTTATTAGTGGCTCAGGGCAGTCTGTTTTCAGTTAAACTAAATATCACAGAATGTTTGTTAATTATTTTCCACAAAACAGTATTGCACACTGGCTAAAATGCCCCAGTATAAATAGAGAAGTCTGCTCAAAACAATTCACATGAGTTCTAGGTTTCAGTACAACGTGTCCTGGACTTGGCTGCCACCAAATACAGTACTGATTTTTGACACCCGAGTGAGCATGTTTTCTCTGCAGATCTCTTGAGGTTTACCACAAAGAAAACCAAAGTGCTGCAAGAATCCTTTAGTGGGATTGAGCACGGGTTTACAGCAAATAGACATTATTCATCTACTTAGAAAGGTGGTTTTCTTAAGTAGAATGTCCAAGATGGTAATCTTCTTTATACTTGAGATCTGCATTTATAAGGGCTGCCTAAACCTGTGTTATAACCCCCAACCCTTTCAGAGCTCTGCTCTACCTTTTTTCTCCCTTCCTCCTTCCCTCCCTCCCTTCTTCCCTCCCTCCCCTACCACATATGCATGGGACTTCTCTGTCTTGTGGGACTTATCTGTAGACAAAATTGCAAATGTTAATGAAAATATTGCATACTGCTGAATATTGAAAATATTGCATAGGATTACTCTTGAAAGCACTCCATAGCCATTCATAACTACTCCTTCAGTAGGTTCTCATTTATTTTTGCACATATTTTTAGAAGTTTATTCTCTCCTGAACAGTCTCATTTTGACGGATGAGATAAACCACCGATGCCATGATTCCACCTATAACTTAAAGGAAACCCATCCATTTCCAGCAGAATCTTGCAATATTTGGTTAATGAAATTTTATTATTGATTTTATTAGTATTCCTGCTTGTGGGCAATGTCTTGGATCAGTAAGCCTTGTAAAAGACTCTATTTAGAAAAAGCTCAGTAGTTGAATATGATGTACAGAGTCACCAGTGTAAGAAAAACTCCACCTCTGGATTTAGTAGGCTGACAGGTAGAGAGAAGGGTAAATGAAGCTGTAGGAAGTTTCTGCAGGAGATTGCTACTGAATGAAGCATTCGGGTACAGGTTATGTTATAATTCTGGTGGTTGCCAAAGTAATATGGAAATTACCAGAAAGTTTAATTCTACTCTTGTAAGTATTCTTTTGTCACATTCAGAAAAACAAATAAAAAGTCAAATAGTTCTATTCCAGTCTTGCTTCTCAATATAAAATAATTTGGAAATTTTAAGCTAAAACTCTACCTTATTTTTACTATAAATGAACTAATAGACAGTGAGATTGGGTAGATACTATCAGAAGCACTTAAAAACACATTCCTACTTGTATGTATAACATCGATATCCATGAAGTTAAGCAAAGTGTTTTACCTTTGCAGAGGAAAGGCTAATGACATGTTGATCTTTTTCATTTGTCACAATTTCCACAATACGATGTTGGTGTCCCGATAGCTTCCCTGCAGGTCTACTATTAATAGTGGGATTCCACAAACGAAGGAGTTTGTCATTACCTAAAAAAATTATACACATATATATAGCCAGAAAGACTAACAGTCACTGGTATTACAAATAAACTTTGTAACGGAGAGCTTGTGTTGGTAAGTCTCTGCTTTCATCACGTAGACAACTCCCACATAACTATGTGAATATTTCATTTCAGTGGCTGGATTCCAGCTTATGTTTTCATTGCTTACCCCCAAACTTGTATTAAAAACATATAACTGACTTGCCTTTCAAAGCGTTTCATTTTGCTAGAGGAATATCAGGGACACTGGATGTGACTACATGCAGTAGCCTCATGGGAGCTTTTCTAGAAATAGAACTGGTGCTCAGATTTTTTTCCTTCAAAGATATAATATACAAAAACATCAAAACAATATTTGTGTCCACTTAGCCAGGAAACGAAGGGATGACCACCTCTATGGAAGAGGGTGGATGTGCAGAACGGGAAGGGGAGCAGACATGAAAGCTTAGGGCAGATAGGAAAAAACAACTGCTGACAAGTGATTTTGGACCTTGAATTAATTGAAACTTTCATGTTTATTTGTATGTTCAAACATTACATTTACCTACAATTTAGGGAATAATCCTTGATTGCATTATACATGAATCTTTTGGTACTATTTTCATAATAGTTTCCATAAATATTTCAAAACACAAAGATGTTAAAAATGTATTCATAAACTCCTGGGTTTACATACTGATGTAAACACAATTGTACCTAATGCTCTGAAATATTTCATATTTTTCAGAGGAGTTTAAAGAGAGCATGAGCACAGTTTAAATATGACATTAATTTATATTTTTACTTTCGATTCCTGGAAAATATTGCAATTGTATGAATTATATGCAATTAGCTGAACTCACATTTTGACACAAAATAAATGAAACAGCCACATTTTATCTAAACTTCAGTTTGAGTTTTAGTTTTCTCCCAGTTAAAGTGAAGTGCAGAAAGTCAAAAAAACAGACTAGGAAGTACATGCCCCAAAAGAACACACGCCAAACCTCAAGACTGTGAAGCTCAGCTTTGTTTAACAAAGAGAAGAGTTAGTTAAAAGTTCAGCTCTTTCAGACCACTCTCCAGGGATCCTCCCTTAAGCTTGTTCAACCTGCTGCCATTGCTCAGTCCCTCCATTTCTCTTTGCAGAGATCTATTTCTTTCCTTCTTAATATAGCAATATGTGATTCATTTAGGAGCACCCCATCTCCCTTTTCCTCCATTAAGCATAATTGTCCTCTCAGTTAAATTGATTCTCTCTCTAGAGAGGCTCATTGGAGAAACGGTCTGCTCTTAAAATAGCTCCAACAGAAAGTCGTTTTGGTTTATGCCAGACCATTTCACAAGTGTGACTGAGAATACAACCATGCAAACAGCTGTACTGGCACAATGGAGGGGTAACTTCTGCATAAAAAAGTTGGCGTTGTTCAGCCTGGAGAGGAGAAGGCTCTGGGGAGACCTTATAATGGCCTTCCATTATAGACCACTGTAGACCTGAAGGGGGCCTATAGGAAAGATGGGGAGGGACTCTTTGTCAGGGAGTGTAGTGATAGGATGAGTGATAATGGTTTTAAATTGAAAGAGGAGAGATTTAGATTAGATACTAGAAAGAAATTCTCTACTGTGAGGGTGGTGAGACCCTGGAACAAGTTTCCCAGAGAAGTTGTGGATGCCCCATCCCTGGGAGGGTTCAAGACCAGGCTGGATCGGGCTTTGAGCAACCTGCTCTAGTGGGAGGTGTCCCTGCCCATGCCAGGGGGGTTGGAATTAGATGGTCTTTAAGGCCCCTTCCAAACCAAAGCGTTCTATGATTCTATGATAAGTAGGTGACTGGCAGTAACTTCAATGGGAACCAGTTTCTTTTCTGGGACACTTTCAGGCAAAACAATTCTAGATTAGCTGTTTATGCTGTAAGCATGGCAGGAAGTAGCTTTAAAAGGCTATAATTGCACAAGAACTGTGTGAAACCCTTTTGGATGGGAAAACTGCAGAACAGGCTGTGCCCCTGCTCACTTCCCCAGGTGGTGTGTTAGGTTGTCATAGACATGTCCGGTAAATTAGCAGAGCCCTTGAGACCTGGCCAGTACACTTTACTGAGAAACAAGACCATGGGAGTAAAATTCAGCTTACAGACCTTACATGAGGTCAATAGGAGGACACAAAATGCAGTAGACAGGAGCCTCCAGTGAGACTGATGAGAACAGTTATAATCCGAGGGAACAGACACTGCTTCAATAACATGTCCTTTAGCAGCCACAAATGGAAACTGGCATGTCTTAAAGTGACAGGGAACTAGGTAGAAGCTGATGATAATACCTGACCAGCTCAACTACCTACTTGCTGCACTTTTGAGGAACAGGATCTTTCTTAGCCTTCCTAACTGCTCTGTTCTTTATATTGCTGAGGTGATGGCAGACGGAGGGGAGGACAATGCCCCTTAATTGTGGCACAGAGAATTTCTTTTAAGAATAGAATCACTAATACATGTTCTTAAGATATTAACAGGAAGAACAAATGTCATTAGGAAAAAAACCTTCCCCTACATTAAAAATACTGATTGCTTCCTATGTGAAATAGGGGATTAAGTTTTATTCTTTACTGATGTTGAGGTAGTGGCGGATTTAGTTATAGCAGACATGTTCTCTCCCCTCTTTCTGGACTAATGCCACATTGGCCCTAACGTGCGCTGCTTCCCTGCTTCACTGGAACATTTGCTGGAATATTTATTCTCTCTGTGCTCCAAATATGCCTCCGGGATTCAGAACCCTTACACAGAAGGTACTAAGCACATTCAAGAAAAGCTTGAAGAAGATGAATTATCTGTCTACATATCAGACAGCAGATTTTTAAGATTCTGTGAAATCAATTATTTGAATCATAATGGGTTCAGTTTGGTGTCCTCCATTCCAAGACAAATAATTATGAAAGCATGTTTTTAGTTTTTTTTTTTTTAAAGTCAGATTCTATGACCAAAGCTCTATTCTAGCTAGATGTTATAGATTCCAATACATTCTTTGAAGATGTGATCTTTTGTCAAGATTTCTCCCTTGCTTATACAGTTTATCCTATTGACCAATGTCTTTCTTTTTTTGTGCTGACTTGTCTGCCTTCATATGTTCTTCTTAAATTTAGACTGCATCATAGAAAAGAATCTGTTTATGCTTGTGAGAGTTACTATTAGTGGAGTCCTGGGATATGATTACTATAACAAGGATTCCTGGGAATTGCTAAAAATGTCAATACCAATGTATAGCGTCAGTAAAAAACAAACAAGATATAAGATGTTACCAGTTACTTCACTTGTGCCAGGAATACACAAAGGATATCAAGCAAGCACAGAGGACTTCCTTTAATCAGTCTTAAGCTGCTACTACTAGATTTTAAAATCACTAATAGGGTTTTTTTTGTACTTTATTGCTCACAGGAGAACAATAGCTTGATTTGAAGAAATAATAGGGTTAGAAGTTGATGTATCATATCATTTAAAACTGATCATCTCCAGCTTTTATATGAATGCATAATTTGATTTTAACTGTAGCTGTTCCCTGAGGTGATGATTAAGACATAGGTGGAATTGAAATGGATATAAAATAAGAGGAGAATCATATCACTTTACCATTCAACAAAATATTAATACAAAATGCTACACAGAAAAGTTATTCTAAGTTACTATGGCTCCATATTGTAGGCCACTATCAGGCAATTTTATTGGTTGAAGAAGTCTAGCTTTTATCATCCTTTCACCAGTTTCTTATTCATTATTATAAATGCCAGCTTTATTTTATCTTATTTAACTGGGAAAAAAAATTAACAATAGAACAACCTCTTAGAAAAAATCCCAATACTTACCTCCGGTGACAATGACGTTTGCTTTTGCACAGTATGTGAAGGCATTGACCCCTCTGGGGACAGAAAATTCCTTTACAGGTCTGTAATCATTAATAAAGCAGTTAATCAGGTAAGAAACATTAGGAAAATACAGTCTACAGTCATTCCACTTTTCTGTGGCATGTAGAATAGCTGTTGGCATAATGCATACAGTCTCTTGTTAAAAGCAAAGTGATTTATAGCAGTGACTTAGATACTAGCATCAATAAAATGGGAACAGGGTACACTTTCCATTAAAGTAATAAATATCTGATTTGATCACCTGAATCCTTTATCATTCATACTCCAAACAGAATACAACAACGGTAGCTGCTGTCAAAGTAACCCTTCACAAACTACTGCATGCTTAAACCTGTTATTGCTGAGAAAAAGCATGAAACCAACTGCCTTTGCCTGTTTCAGACAAGGAGGTCTATTGTGGCCTCTATTTTGCATAAAGTGCAGTTACTTCTCTGCCGCTTGCGTATAATATATTGCATAATGTGTAGTGTCTATTTTATCTATTTTGTGTTGTACAATAACATATAGAGACTACAAGTTTCTGAAAAAAATGAATTATTCTGTTGCATTCAGGGCAAAAGCAAGGGAATTCAAAAAGCCAACACAAGTTAATTGGGGAAATTAATATTTTAGCACCCATAAATCATATATTTCAACCATAATTACTTACGGAATGGGCATTTCAAAGCGATTTGATCCATAGCTATTTTTAGGGCTATTAATTTCATTTTAACAGCTGTGTAATTTTTTAGTTGTTTGAATATAATGTCATTTAACTGCTGCATGAAGCCGCTCAGAGAAATGTATTTATTGCAATTGGAGACACAATTATAGTCAGTGTTAAATGAAAAAGATCTATGAAGATATTTGCAGTTAATGTTCTGTATTACAATCAGTGTATGGTGGTAGCATATACTCTTTTGACTATACTTTTGGCTCTGCAGTCTTTGTTTTCCTTCTCCTCTAATTCTATTTTTCCAAAACTCCCAACAAAATCTAATAAGATTTCTCAGCTTTTCTCCTGATATAGTATGTGACCTTGACAAACTATAATTATTTCACATTGCACTTTTCCCCTCTGCAACAGACATGCAATATGAATATTTATGGCTATGCTTATGGTTATACAAGAGATAAAACAAACTATCATAATTGTTGCTACTAGTCTTAAAAATCTACTAATCTCTGGATGGACCTCACAAAGGACTTATGAAGCTGGTCTAATGCTTAAAATGCTTTGAGATACTTGAATGAAAATTTCTATCATATCTCTATGTTATTGATAGTTCCTTTTTACATCAAATTGTGTTTGTATTGTTTATTTTTTAATTGGGCTAAAACTCTTCTAACATCACAGACTATTAAGTCTTGAAATCAGCTACAGCACTGATGGGCCATATGAATAAGGATATGGCACAAATAAGGAGGCCACAACCTCTTTCCTGCTGCACAGGAAATCCATTTCGCAGCACTCAAAATAAATTGCTTTATTGGTTTAAGCCTGTGTAGCTGAAACCTGGGAAGTTCAAACTTATGAAACTGGAATGTAGGTGAATATATTTTTGTGTTGATACAAATTTTAAATTAACAGATACATGATACAATTGTAACAAACCAATTTTCTAACTAATGTCTACAATTTGCCTGCTGAGAAGTTGGAGCAGACAACACTACCAATGTAAATTATATTTAAGGTTTGTGAGTAATGAACATATATGGACAGTGCCCTCCTACATCAAAAGCTAACAAACAAAAATGTTCAAGTATTTAAGTAGTTGCATTTTTGCTTCTATTAACAATGCTTATAGAAAAGACAGCTTCAATACAACAGGATAGCATCTTGCAAGGCACTGATCTCATGCAGAGTTATAAAGCAAAAGATCTATTTTTTCAGAAGATGTCATACTTACAAGTTGTCCCCTAGTCGCTTTATGTCATCCAAAACAAATGAATGAATGCTGTCTGAGGAGCAGGATCCAAAACAATTTAGTTCAGAAAAATACTTGACTTTCACAGCCCAGTCATCATGTAGCTTGCGTTTAACACTAGGGACCGAAATTGAGATGTTATTAGGATATAATAGCATCTACTGTAATATGCCCATGGGTGGATAGGGATTTTGTAAGTGAGATTATACACAGTTAATGCTAATATTTAAATATCCAGGACAGATACTGAACCACTCTTCCAGCTCAAGAGAAAGCAGAGCTAAAGTTGGAGTTGAATCATGCACTTGTGTAGTAGCAATTATGCTTCCATCTAATTGGGCACAATAAATATTGCCTATGTCAAACTGGACAACAGCAAAGGTGAATCCTTCCCTGGAATTTTACTCTGCAGCCCCTCTGATGTAAGATCTCCTACTGAAAATGATGGCACTTCCTTCACACAGCAAGAAGCAAATCATATTTACTGCAGTTTGAAAAAATATTTTCTTTGTTAGGTGGGGTTAATTTATACACAAAAGCTAATCTCTATTTATTGCAGAGAAAACCCTAAAAGAACGTAACTGCTAGACTGATAATATTTTATCACAAGCAACTTACAAGTTAAAAGTTTTGGAGTCCAAGACCTGAACTTGTGATTCTTTTTTGCCTTTGCATTGTTTCAATCCAAAGTGATCACTTGTCAGAGTAAGCAGGTGAACATAACCCTTATCATCTCCCATTAGGATATTATCCTTAGCCAAGCGATCAGACATAGTCACCGTGCAAACACAGAGCAGAGCATTTTCCATTGGTTTGATGATAAAGCAATTATTCTGTGAAATACAGCAGATAGTTTATTAGATGTTGCACACGAACCCTTAAGTTGACTGAACTTATGCTTATCTACTTAACATCAGCATTCAGTTCTTTACTTTGATTTTTCAAGCCTCCCCTGTGACAGCTGTTTTCTGGTATTAGAAACCCATGGAAGATCATTATCCAGTGAAGCTAAAAGCAAATTTTAAGTATTTCAGTGAGGTTTTATTTCATAGGTAGCCTTTTCCATTTCAGTGAGGAAATATTAATTACAAATTTTTGGAAGGATCTCAATGTGCTAAGTGGGGTGGTATATTTGCTAAGAATGTATACAGTTTCCTGTTCAAAAATAAGATAGAGTCTAGAAGAAAATGGGAAATAGCTAAATCAAAGAATTATTCAAACCACAAAACGCAGCAGTGACACACAGGAAGAAATTATATCAGAGTCCTAATTATTTATACAGCCTGGGAGTACCAAGTGTACTTATATGGGCAGGTGTTTGAATTTTCAGGAATTAAGATTGTGGGAATGAATACAGCTGCAGGACATTGTAGTATTTTGCTAGACTGGAAGGCCTGGGAATGGGATTTTGGGTCATCTGCATTATACTGTTTATTGGTTCTACTGCCTGGCTCCATCTGTTATTTGATTAAAGCATCCTTGCCAACCTAAACTGGCAACTGTCGTAGGAATTAACTGCACAGAAACATTAAAGAGACATACCACAGATACAGAACTGTGGTCTTGAAAGAGAACTGCTCCTATTCAGCCCCAGGACAGTTTTAAACTCTCATTGATGTAATGACTGAAGGAAACCTAGAGAATAATGATTGGTGAATAAGTTTTTCAGTCTTCTTTCCCAGGAGTCCAATTGGATTGATAGTGAGACTTCCATTGACAGGTCTGAGCTTGGGGAATGGTCTTTAAATATTGAGAATAGAAAAAAAACACCCCAAACTTAGTATTTGATATTATCCTAAAAATATTTCCTTTGCTTCCTCTCATCTTCTCAGCCAACTCAGAATTGCTGAAAAAAAAAAAAAACAAACCCAGGAATGGGAGGAAAAAGCTGAGGTATGGGTCAGAAATCCTTGCAAAAACTGTATTTTGTAATAATACAAATAAGGCATTCAAGAAAACTTTAACAGTTTGGACCTACACTATCAACACAACAAAGCTTCTGTTCTTGGAAAGCCTTGAACAAAATGCATGATATTAAGAAATATTTTCTTTAAAACAGGAAGTTACCTCAAAGGAGTCTATATTAAATTCCTTGGAAAATCTGTCCCTGGATTCTTAATAGATTCTGAGACATATATATACACATACACACACATTAGATATACATATGCACATATCTGCACTACAGATATACAGAAAATAAATTATTTGGGGGTTTGTTTGCAACATAGTACAAAATTTTCCTCTTTGCTCCAAGTTCTATGATACTCGAATAATCCCATTTGGTGTGGAAAGGCTATTTCTTCTTTAGTTTAAATTCCACTATTTCACTTAGTTCCTATAAAGAAAAAAGTTAATGCCTTCATCTCACTAGACAAAGAGAATGTGAATGCATATTGAAAACACAGGCTAATCTTTTTCAGGCTTCCTCTTTAATATTTGCCTGACCCAGCAAAATACCTGACTCCCTTTTGATTTATAGTCCCAGACGATGATTGTCCTTTCAGTTACAGCCACAACACATTTCAGCTGAGGTAGGAATTCACATCCAGTGATCCAAGCAGTATCCTGATGAAAATAAAAAGGGTAGCTAAAGAAGGATAAATTTATAACCTTCTTCATTATTTAACTGTTTTAAACCATCTCCACATAAATTCCATATACTCTGCACTACTGGCTGATAGATCCAGCCCCAGCTAACACAACTGAGAGTTCTAACTCCAGGAATAGCTCATACATGAAATTACAAGGCTCAACCTCTAATATCGGTAACTCACCTCAGATGCACAGATGTTGCACATGAGAGGACACAATACATCTATATTTTTAGCTGAACTGTGATGATACTCTGAAAAAAGCACTCTGAGCAGAGGAAATTTAAGCTACAACATTCACCATAAAGCAGATTAAACCTTTTCTTGGATACAGTTTAGTTCAAAACAAAAGGAAGCTAAAGGCAGTAAAAATTGCAGCTGTAATAGCACAAACCCTACTCAAATTAATGTTTCTGAAAAGAAGTAGCTTGTATTAAGTAATATTAATTGTGCCCATAGGTAGATCAACAGATTTACAAAGATTTACAGTACATCTGTACTGCAGTTTAGTGATGGTGTTGCTTTTTGTTTGTTGTGTGGGTGTTTATTTTTGTCAAAATTAGGTTGATGGTTGGACAAGATGATCTTTAAGGTTCCTTCCAACCTAGAAGATCCTGTGATTCTGTGATCTGCCCATATTAAGTCATCTTTCAATTATACCTGCAGTTATACAGGTCTTTATGTAAAATAGTAAATCGTTTCTCTTGCAAAGTCTAAGATTAGGGACTCAAATTCACTACTATACTGGCGAGGCTTTTGTTTTGTTTTGTTTTTTTGAAACATTAATAGCTGTTTGATCTTTTCCCTGAAATATAGTGGACCTTGCTAAATGAGAGTGGGATTGAAATGGAATATGCCCCATTTCATTCCCATTTCAGCAAGTTCTCAGGGAAAATCCTTCTCTCATAGAACTGAGAACTGTTATTCCCCTAAAGAATTAGCAGTGAAAGGGAAACAGCTGTAGGAATAACACGTGCCTTCTGCTCTGGCTGTTTTTACTCCAAGGAGGAACAGCTCTATGCTCTAGTTCATCAATGGAAAGCCCTGTGTAAGTAAACATTTAAAATTAAACAATAAAATTGAGCTTGATTTTTCTTTTACAGTGAAGCATCCCAGTCATTGTATTGTAGCATCCCCTGGCTTAGAGATATGATTATCATAAGACACTATTTCACTAAAAGGGAGATAAAAACTTACAGAAAATACAACCTAAGAAGCATTAAACCCATTCTGGTCTGAAAAGTAAGTATGAACGCATGTTTGTTTACAAGATCTATACAAAGGTTACATATATCAACTTATGTTTAATATACATACAAATAAAACTATTTGGTGTTCAAATTTTCCTTACAATGTCTGAACTGCAATGCACTTTGAGTGAAAGGAGAAAGACACAGGTAGAGAAACAACAAACACTCCAACAGGAGGAAAATGTTGGTTGAAGACTTCAGCCAAGACAGAATTTCTCTTGTAAGATTCTCCTCTCTATAGAAGATACGTATTTGTAATTACTGACTGGCAGTCTAGAAAAGTATTTGAAAAAAAGGTTTCAACACATGACATGCAATTTTCATTTGCCAGCAGAAAGCAAGAGTTAGTAAAACGTACTCTAGATTTACTCTTATTTTCTTTTGCATTATTTATAGGCACAAACATATTTGATACTATAAATCAAAAGTAGGAAAAAATGTGTTTATTGCACCAGTTTATTAGTTGCCAGTCAGGGAAAGATCCAGCATAGGGAAATTGACTTTTCCTGGAACAGGCAGCAATAGAAATGCTTTCATGTATACAACCGAAAGACTCACATCTTAAGACAAATTGCACTAAATTTGTCTTTAATAATTCCAGTGAAATTACTGAAATTACACCAAAGATCAGCAGATATAAAGGCCTGGAGAGACCACTATAATAACTGAGCTTGTCTTCCTGCATAGCATGTACCAGAGAATGTCCACTGAGTTTAGAGCCTAGCAGAGACAGAGATTGTTCAAGTTAGCTAACACTGCCTTCCTGGCCAGTTCACCAACTGTAGGAGACGCTCTAAGCTAATTCTAGCCAAACTTTCTTCAGACTTATCAACTTCTGGAAAGTTTCTCACAGTTTACCTCTCAGCACTGATTCTACAGGCCAGATTAGTCCTTGCAGCAAATTAAATGCAACCCAGGCCCAGAGCTGTTTCCAGAGTTGGAGTAGTAGGGTCTGTGTTCTAGAGTATTTCTATTACATTTTAGAACGTCGACACTATGTGATAGATAATCAACAAAATGCAGTGTCCCCTGGCACAAGATACCTACACAGACTTGTGGCAAGGGACTTTTGTCACTTTGTTAAGATTGGAGACAGTTCTCTTGTCGCAGGTCATCTGAAGGAAGCTCATTGCACAAAATCCACAGTGATACTCCCAGGTTAAAAATGAGCATTTAAACTATATACTGTGTGGCCAACCAATCTACCTAGCAAGATGTAGAACTGTTTTTTGCTAGCAAACTTATAATATTTTTAATTTAAATTTTACAGTGGGAACTGAAGTGTTCTATCTTAGCCAAAAAAATTCTGGAAAGGTTAGGGGTAAAAGAATTTGGTAGAAAAAGCAACATTTATCTGATGTTTCTTTTTATCAGAGGAGAGAAATCAAGTTACCTAGTTGTTTCTACAATTGAAAGGAATAAATTGAACCTGTTTGACCTACGGAAGCCTACAATTATGCAGAAATCTCCAGATTGGAAATAGCATTATAATAATGCTTGATTTTTAATTATTTCACTTCGGTACCTGCTGATTTTTAATTCAAATGATTAACAGAAGGTGGAAAATTAACTTACCTCAACAATGGTGGTTGCCAGAACTCTCATCTGAAAAAACAAAAATATGTTGTCACAATAAAAAGTTAGCAAATAAATTAGAAGTCTGAACACAGTCAGGTCTCCTGTATCACAGGCAGAACAGAACAATCATAGCCAACAGAAAGAGTTCACAGTGAAGATCTTCTGAGGGAGATCTTTAACCTACTCTCTTTTCCTCTCTATATAGTGAGGAACTTAAACTCTCTCTTTCACAGTTGTTTCATGGTTGGTTGGCTTGTTTGTTTGTTTTTAAATGAGAAGTTGGTGTGAGCACAATAAGTAAAAAGTACCCATTCTTTATAGTGGAGTACAGATCAGTTGTTCTTCTGTGGAATTGTGCTTCTAATGGTCCTTCACAGCTAGAACAACTCCAGCTTCTGTCAGAGGTAGGATGTGGCATACAGATACCCAAGCTAACGCTGGCCCAGATGATATGTTAACTAGTGCCAGAAAAATACTAGGTGGAGACTATACAGGCAGAGACATGCTAGGCTGCAAACAGGAATACCCATATCGGTACAGTATTTTTCAGCAAAGTTAACTATTGGTGGACAGCATAGCATGTGCCTCAAAAACTAAAGTGTTTTAAGACGCAGGATGGTAGGCATACCTGGTGCCATCATCCAGTAGAGACAGGGTCACCTTCTTTATCCTTCAACCAAACTAGTGTCTAGTTTTCAAAAGCAATTTCAAATTTTCTCTTCTGAATCACCCACACATGTTTTTTCACCTCTTTTTCCCTCTGCCCATCATCAGTAATTAATCAGTGATGCCTCATTCCTATCCCAGTATTTCCACATTTCATAAACTAAGAAGCTAGGATCAAAGCCTTTCTTCTCATAGAATTGTGTCACCCAGTGTCATCAACGGACAGTCTTTGAGCAGAGTTTAAAACTATTGTTAACCAAGATCTTAATAACCATGCACTGGTATCAGATACGGCTTTATCTACAGTAACATTAACTAGAGAGTGCACAGAGAATTTTCCTTAAGGCTGCCTACTCCTAGAGATCTTCTGTGCTGATCAAGGCAGCACCCATGCCTGATATCCTGACAAGGGTGTCTCCTGTTGCAGTGTAAGCAGGAAATGGCTGATAATGCAGAGCTGCGTACAGGTGTTGAAGCATATTAGGTCCATGTTTGTTGCAGAAAGCCATGCTTAGCCCTCAAATAGAGAACCTGCTGGTCTACAAATGACTATTTCTTTGCCTTGACCTCAATTTCCAATAGCTGCAGATATGTAAGAGAACATGGGATTTCTTATCTCAACAACTAGGATTAACAAAAGTCTCCAAACTCTTTCTAGAAAATAACTAGAATCACTAGCTATTTATGTGGTGAAATAGGGTATGATCTTGAAACCTATTCTGATGTATACAGGCTAACTTAAGCATTCTTAATGCAATCTAACATGACTGGCACTAATTATTTACTAAAAAAAATAACCTGATTAATTCTGATTTCACTGAAGTTTAATAGATCAGCAAGAAGTGATACAGTTTGCAACCTCTTTATTGTTCCTATTCTTATTTGTAAATTAGAGGGTTTTAGAAGTTTTTCATTATCCTTAGTTCCTAAACAGTATCAAATAAAAACTGCTCATCTAAATTGTCAACTGGCCCCAAGGACATAACACAACCATTAAGGAAATTGTCAAGTTATATTTACTTTGCAAAGAGCAAAGAAAATAATACTAACCTAATCTTTTGGAAAGCTTGATTGCACTGGACATCAACTTACACCAGGGTGAATAAACAGAATGTCCCTGTCTCTTCCTTCACATGTATGTTTCTTATTAGTCAAATGCCCCAGAAGTGACATAGTTAAGATCTGTTATATTAGATTCACTAATTATATCAGACCAAATATTTTTCATTCATGTACACGGAACACACTGATCCAATAATATCATATGCTTAATAATCTGCACTTTAAAAATGGAACAATTATACAAAAATAAGCCTCTCTGTCTATTTGTCAGTGTATTGCTCATGAACTCATATTTTGGCCCCTCCGGCCAGAGCACAAGTCCCACCAACCAGCATCTTTAGGGCAAGCATCTTCATATTCCCTTATCAATATGCTTCAAAGCCAAACTAGACAAAGCAACTCACTTGCTGAGATTTTAAGGTCAGGTCTTTTAAAATCCTTGTTCTTTGAGAGAAGAAAAATGATGCAAAACATGCCAAGTCTATATTTGCCTTTGTGATGTGAAGTTATAATCTAGCAACAGGACTTAAATGACAGCGATGCTAATCAACTAGAGTTCTCTCTTGCTTGCATCATGATGTATCAGAGCAATTCTAATGAAGTCAAAAGTCATTTGCTCAGCGCAACTGAGATCAGAGATCATACCATGAGTAAAGGACTGCTGTCACAATGCCTTAGTCATTTTCAGAAGATACAGATTTATAAGTGGGGTTTGAGGTCTCTCTTTCACTGCATTAAGCAGCTGTGTGTAAAATCACTTACACTGCAGTCGCTGATGTCAGAGTGACATCAGTTCAGTCTACGAGGAGGCAGCAATTCAACTTGAAAACAGCACGGGGAGGGGGGGGTGGGGAGGAGAGCTATTTTTAACATTATACTCTGTGAAATTATTTTTCGTAGGTGCGTAAGAGGGATAATGCTCTGGAGGACAGAGCACTAGGCTTTCAGATAAATTATTTCAGTATTTACCAAAACTGCAGTATTACTTTATTGTTTAATCATCCACAGGAACCCTTTCTTACTTTACATGCTCCTGTCATAAGCATTATGCACTAGTTAGCTGATACCCCTAGAAAGCATCAGTGCTGCTTTAAAGCTTTACCCCATTGTCTGAAACAATTTTTAATCAACTGCTTTTATTAATGTACAAATGTAAAGTGCCAACGAGCACAGATGTGTGATGGATCTTGTAGCATCTAGAAGTGCATACCTCTAAATAGTAATATAATCATCTGGGAGACTCATTTACAAATTGTATTTTAATAGCATCTTGAGCCTGAAATTCTACTTAAAATGGTACAGATGTCCTTACAGTTTGCTGATGAGGGGAGTAACTGAAGCAGTGTCATGCCGACTATCAGAAAATTCAAAACTTTCAAGCTTCTAGATATTGCTGTAATGAATAGCTTCTTTGTAAACAACTGACAAATGTTTCTATCCCTTTCTAAATACTTTCAGTAGCTGTAGAAAATAGTTAATTCTCTTGTTTCCACACTATACGCAAAAGTTAATATAAGTAGCATATTTTGTATTAAGGGAAACTTCTAAAAAGAAACGCAGATTATTTTCTATTAAATTAACTTCTGTTAAGAAGGTTTTTAATTAGCCATCTCTAGCTTCTATTGACTTCTTTGGACTGTTCAGTACAATTGAAAATAACAGTGTATATTTCCTACCGTAATTAAAGAAAAAGTTAACTTTAGTAAAAAAGATATCTAGCTTTTTTATGGGTAAGTTTGAACACTAGACCACAGTTCACTCACTTCCCATATACATTACCTATGAAATAGTAAAGTTTTTTGCGTCGGAATTACCTGGTTGTTCAAAATAGTTAGCACTCCTTTCTGAGAGGATATGACTGTGAAATCCAGATGGGGCACCTTCACTATACTCTTAATCACATCTTGTCTCTTGACAACTGTCAATGACAAAATATTACTCTTCATCTTACAGACAGAAAATATAAACAAATAGAACCATAATATCAATAACAGTACTGATATGCATTTCAGGAACAGAAGATAACTCCAAGGCAGCAATTATATCGATATCATAGATTACCCTATGTAATCATGTTGCATTTTAAAATAGCATTAATGTATTATGGATGTGCTAGTTCTTTACATGCTATTTAAAAAATACTGAAAGGCAAAGAATAACTGCATAAATAAGTAGTCTGAGTCAGAAAAATTCATCATTTCAAAATAATTTAGGAAAATAGAGAACTGGGCAAGGCAGCAGTGGAGTGTTCAGACACAGTGAGTTTAGTAAAACAAACCTTTATTCTGGAACACGTAAGAAGAAAAAGCTTTAATAATAAGCAAAGACAGATGAGATCTTATTACTGTATTTTCAATAAAGTGTGCAACACATGGCATTAAAAAAATAATAGTTTTGGACAGAAGATGAAGTATATCACCTGCATGAGTAATCTGCTGTTTTTCAGATATAAGGAAAACCATGTTTTCTTCTTCCAACTGGGAAGATATGGCATCACTTTCTCCGATGAAACAGCCAAAAATCTAAACAAACCAAAATCCAAGCAATTTATAACAAAACTACTTATGGAATATATGTTTATACATATAAAGTCAAATATTTATCTGACACTTTAAACATTTAATGTTCTTTGAGTAGGCTTCCTGGTGTTATTTGCCTTAACAGTTAGCTGTCAATATGACTAGATTGCTGAGATCTGCTACTTGGGCACAATCTTTCTTCACTGTTTGAAAAGAAGCCAGCATACACAGGGGTTCTGGGAATAAAAACCATCTAATTGATAAAGCAGTTAGTACAGCTTTGCCTTGCAATGATTGTTTCTAAATAATAATCTTCAATTTCTTTTTTCCAGTTTTACCTACTTGTGCTTCCTCAGCTAGAAGAAAAAACAGTACAAGACAGACAAATCAGACTTCTCTGTACTTTTAAATGGAGAGCTTCAAATTAGCATAGTGGTTTAGCCTACACAGAAGATGAGCTTTTTTATAAAGATACGTAGATCCCCATTTGCCTGAAAAAAATTGAATATAAAGTTAATTTTTAAAAATTCTTTTTCAGCCACATCCCTAAGCCTGGCAACGTTCCATGGACTGATCATGACAGAGATCCCCACATAAGATATTCAGGTGAGTAGCTCATTTTTGTTGCAGGGTGTGACAATACTTCAGCTGAAATGCTCTCTAAACTTCAAGCTCTGTATCTAAGAGGAGGTTAGTAACTTCCTCAGGAAGTGAGTTCAGCCTCATTCAGTTGTACAGATATTTTTTAATCCCCTGTTTTATATTACAGACATTTTATATACTCACTTTTTTCATGAGTTCTAAAAGCAATGCCCCTTTGGATGCAAGGCAAAACTTTGCACTTTTTTCTAGTTCAACATTTTTCATGTTATACAACAGAACTCCCATTTTTCTTCTTTGAGAGACTCAGATGTAGTCCGTTCAAAAAAAGTAAATAAATCTTACACAATGTTACTCTTCATCTTTCACTGCACAGCTCTCTTCTATCATGCACACAATTATTATCTATCATCCATCATGAGTCAAGACATCATCTGTCTATTGTAGCCTGTTACATTCCTTTTTCTAGTTTTTGTCTTTCCATCCTGTATCCAAACAGGATACAGGATTTAGTATCCTAAATACCAGGTGTATGCTCCTTCTGGACAGTCACATAATCTTCACAATATCCAGCATGAATCAAAAAGTGGTAATACTAGTAATTCATACATAGGGATTGTTTTCTAGCATTTTCACAATGGTTATCATTGTTTTAAGTTACATTTGAATCCTCCAATTGTTTAATATTAAATAAAAGGGTTCTGAAAGAACTGGAGTGGCTAGAACATTATAACAGTGTTTCCCCAAAGAATCAAGGATGTACTCTTTCCACTATTATCAGTTAATATTCTTATAGCAGCTTTCCACCTGTGTTACAAATAGAGATAGTGTCACAGAATCACAAAGTTGTGAGGTTGAAAAGGACCTCTTGAGATCATTTAGTCCAGCCCCCTGTCCAAGCAGGGTCAGCTACAGCAAGTTACCCAGGTCTGTGTCCAGTTTGGGTTTTGAATATCTGTAAGGATGGAGACTCCACAAACTCTTTGGGCACACTGTTGATCACACTCATGTTCACACATGTGTTCAAATGGAATTTCATGTGTTTCAGTTTATGCTCATTGTCTCTTGACCTGTCAGTGGGCGCTACAGAGAAGAGTCTGCCTTTTTTCTTTGTGCCTTCCCCACCATGTATTACACACATTGTTAAGTGTCCTTAGTGAGATACCCAGGTGTGTCCTGTCATGCTTCCTGTAGAAATGAGGCAGTGCCATATCCAATCTTTTTTTTCTGCCCAGCAGGCAGAACACTGCCCAAAGAAAGGGCATTTTAGAAATCCCTTACAGCTGCATAACTGGCTGCTGCTGACTCACATGGAGACAGGGGATCCCAACAAGCCCCACCCCATAATGTCTACCAGAAGTTAACAAAGAGCATAAAACATGAAGTAAAACATAATATACACATCTTTCAGATGTTTGCCACTAAAAAAATAGAGTTTTCAAAGTGCCAACTACATTTGGGAGAGAGATGCAGAGGTCAGTTTCCCAACTCATTGATAAATGACAGCTGCTGGACTGTCCAGGATAGGTCTTTTAAATTTTGGAGCCAGTAAATGACTAAGGGTAGATCCTAATATAACTGAAGATCCTAATATAACTGTTATGAATATAACATTTATAATTACTTCAGTGGCTTTTTAAATTAAAAGGTGCCCTTTGAGTATGGTTATACTGTTGTGGAGACCGCCAGAAACTTAGAAAACTTTTAAATATGGAGGTACTTGAAAAAGAGAAACATCAGAAAGATAAAGAAATAGGAACACTCACACAAGGCCATGATCTTTTGAGTCATGGAAATATATTTGGGAGATTTTATCAAGTTAAAGAGACACCACATATAGACAGGTAAATTTGAAAATAGATCTGTGAGAGTAGGAAGTGAGGAACAAAGAGTCAGGGGTAGAATTCTGGGAAAGGGGGCAGGAGGAGAGAGAGGTATAGAGAGAAAAATGATAAAGGGAAATATCAAAGGAACAAAGTGACATGCATGCCTCTTCCTTTACTTCCAAGACAGGGCATGCACAGCAGTACCAAAAGCAGCAGGGGACCTCAGAAGAACAGGGATGAAATATAGTCCTTTTAGAAAAAAAAAAGTTAGAAAACTGGAGCACAGACAGCAGAAACCATGATGGCTCTTTAGGATATTAAAGATAGCAACCATTATCAATGATACATTTGAAAAATTAAGTGATGAAAAGGAAACTGAACCAAGATCAAGGCTACTTACATTGTTCATAGGGACTAATTAATGATATGTCCAAGTTGCAGTTTATAAACCTGATTTGTCTAATGAACATTATCAGAATGAATGTATCAAGTAAGGGAAGCTGTCATGTCAAACCAGGACAGAGGCACATCCGTCTCTTTTACCCTCTCTCTCAAATAACAACTGGTCTCAACTAGAACACCCAGAATACTTCCCAGTCATAAAAGGCCAATTACCATTTCAAGAGAGTTTTCAAGCATGTAAAGGAGCACATTTTTTTTTTTCTTCAAGAAAATGTAAGTTTCACTTAAAAGTAATGAAAAGACTAAGGAAGATGAGAAAAGCAAGTGGGACCTAGGCTGGTCAAGTGTTAAATAGAGTCAACTTAAAAATAAAAATAAATAAAAAAGAGGTAGAGCTACAGGTATGGGAGGAATCTATGATCCTCATCAGTAAGTAAATGTGTACAGCTTTCGATGTCAAGAGGTGAAAAAGAGATGAGGAGACTTTACAGCTGTAGCACAGCTATACTAACAAACCTATGGCATAGTAAGAAGAACAAAGAAGACTGGCTTCATTCCTGACATTAGTAACTCTCCAGGATTACCTGGGCCATTTTGGAACTGTAGAGTTTGTCAGAGAAACAAAATTAAAAAAAACACCACCACATAATATGTAGGATACAAACCAACCCCATTTTATTAGAAACCATTCAAATAAGCCTGGAAATATCTGTTTTGGTCCAATCATTATAAATAGGATGTTACCACAAAAAAGTAGATCAAAAGTTGATGCTGAAGTTACTGTTGATGTAAATTGGGCTTTGACAACAATTAGATGATCAATGCAATGATTATTCTGTTTCAGTGTAAGCTAAATCTTACTGGATTCAGCAGTTTTGTTACTTCAGTTTTCATCTCTGAATATACCCAGCCTACCTGTAAAACAAATCTTATCCTTTTGTTCTGAAAGGAGCTTAGATTTATAACATGTTCCAAAGTATAGATAGCTTGAAATACACAGCAGCACCAGATTTCCCACTAAACAGAAAAAAAAAAAAGTCCAAAAAACTGAAAACCTCACTGCAACTTTTCAATGCAGTATTATCTTTCAAACTGTGCTGATTAAGGCCGTGTCAAGGTAAAGAAATAAATTTCAGACTGAAGCTAAATCAGATAATCTGATTTTTAGCTATTCTTCTTACTTAAACTAAAATTACAATAGCACAGGGCACAGAATAACAACCAAGAAAGAGCTAAATTTTACGATAATACAATCTCCTTCATCTCTCAAGAAACATACCAGAATGGATATCATCACTTAAATTTTGCAAGAGAAATTCCAAAGACAAATGTTAGCCTCCTATCTTGTAATGTCTTCTCTGGAAACTTCCATTTAACCAACAAATGGACACACTCAAGTTTCTAAATTGTTTACTATCAAACTAAACATGGAGCCTCTTTCTTTCTCAGCTTGTTGAAATTAAACGTCACTTCTTGAATAGGGTAACATAACAACAAGTGAGGTACTCTAAACCAGTTCTTCAATTTAGTTTTTGTCTAGATCAACCAAAACAATACATTTTATCTAATTCTCTAGCTTCAAAGGCATATCTGTTTCCCAATTTATTTTTTTTTTTTTAGGAAATGAATGGTGGCCAGGATAAATAACAATGTGAAAGTGCCCCATTACACCATGGAGCTCATGAACAACAGGCTCACTAACAACACATAATCAACAGAGTAACACTGTTATCTTTTAAGATTCCAATTAGTTGCTTACATTTAGTAAATTTTTAGAAATTCTTACCTCACACCATTCTGTCCTTGCATTAGGGTTGCTGCTAATCTTTGTGAAAAATGCCTTAATGTTATGATCCTTGATTTCTAGACCAAAAATTGTCTTTGTGGTTTTATAAAACTTATCATAGTCTATCTCATCTGTATGGGAGGAACAATATCCACAGAGTTAAAAACTGACAAGGTAAAGTTTCCTTCCTTATCCCCCTCCCTCTTTTTTATTTCTCCTTCAATATGAGTAGCATGCAATTTCCAGTTCCTCGCACTGCATTCACTAAAGAATTTTTTTGGGAAAAAAAAAATATTCAGCCTTCACATTCAGTTTTTTCAAAACCACCAGATTTGAAACACATAACTGGAAACAGAGAGATAAAAGAATAAGTGAAAAATTCTCACCTCTTCTTTCCCTTACACTTATATCACAATTTTGGTTTATCCTAACCAGAATAGCGTCCTGGCATAAAGTTTATCCTTTCATGCAACTATAGCCCCTTGCATTGAGAAAAGCAAAACTTCACCCTAGTTATGTACAATTAAGGAACTGGTTTTGTGCTTTTACAGATCACTAGAAACATCACATTGTACTAACTTGTATATGTGACACCTCCACCAATTATATTTTGTAAACAATCACCATAGCATTATAATTTGGCCAAAAGTTTTAGTAAGAGGAGAAAACCACTCTCATAGCACAATCTGCCTATTTGCTGTAAAAATCACGTCAGAGTTTGGACATTAATTTGAAGTCTTTCATATAGTGTTGACTCTATGACACCCCCTCTCCATATGAAAATTACACTTTTCCATCAGAAAGAGTATCTCTTACCCTCATCTTCAATAGACAAGCCTAATCTCTTCTTTGTCTTCTGGGTTACTGTTTTTTCAACTAGTTCCTGGAACTGCTTCAAAGCATTCTTGAAATCTGACACTTCTGGAGCAGAGCAACTCTTCTTATCACAATCCCTCTTGTCAGACATCCTGTATTCAAAGAGGACAAAGTAAGAGGGACAGCTGCTCTTACAGGCTGGTCCAAGCCTTGTTTTGCCCCTTAAATCTTAAACTCCACATTAGTTCATATGAGATGCAGCTGGATGACAGGTATACCAAGCATTACATAATAACAGGTGACACTTGGTTTAGTATCTCAAGTTGACAAACATACCCTCCTGTGTCACAACCCTCCCATTAAATCACAGAATCCTACTCACTGAGTGGCCCTACATCATGAACTAGGATCACAAGTAACTTGGCATGTGAGAATATGTCATGGTAACCCGTGCAACTGGTGGTAGAACAGGCATGAATTTTCTCTCTTCCAGAGCCACACAAGGATTTAATCAGGGTTCAATTCTGCTACAGCTGGCATTGCTTTAGCAAAACGAAATCACATTCTCCAGTAAGACCATACATTTGAGACTAGCTGTTCCAAGTTTATCATATCTTTCAGACTTTCGTACTGAGTGAGGAGTGTGCAAAGGCTGCACACTAACTCACACAGTTACGAACAGCTGCAATTGTGGATTCCCTTGGGTCCACACATCATTTAGTGAAGAATGACAGAGCCAGTTTTCTGTTTTTATATATATCTCTGTGACAGGAGAACCGAGACCAGCCTGATGATGTTCTATGATGTGATACTGCTTCAAGGCTTGGCCAGGGATATCAATGTAGGCAGGGATGCCTGGGTTTACAGTAGCAATAACAGCCCTTTACCAGGGATGTTAAATCATGAATCATTATTCACATAGTGCAAAGAGGCCAAAGACATCCAGGTAAATCTGAAAAGAACTAGAAAAATCCTTTTTGACAGTTAGTTCTTGGAAGTAACATTGAATATTTGATTCCCTAGTAAATCTCAATTATTTTTTGAATACATGCCTTGTCTGCTTTATTCCCTACTCATTGAAATAGAACTTCCAACCTAGAAAGCTAATTAACCTGCATAAATCATTATGATTGCGATTGCAAGAAATCTAATGATGGAGTGGTGGAGTTTTAGTTATTTTCAGCTGTCCAACTGCCTCTCCCTTAAGCTCTTACAGCCACTCAAACACCTCTTACTTGTCTTACCTTCAGTCAAGTTACCGTTTCTTTCTCCTAACATACAATTAATGAGCCTAGAGATTAAGCGTTCGCTCTTAATATGTGCCTACCCAATCTCAGCTAAGTGTCTTAAATAGCTACTGTTTTGAACAGGGTCTGCATTTAACTTGCACCTAAGTACCAAGGTACCCCAAGGATCCTTCTGTTTTTTGTTCTTGGGGCATAACTAAACAAAAGAAGGATGGGGCTGGATTTCTGAAAACAAAGCAAAATTGCAGCAGCCACTTTTTTTGGAAAGTGTTGTCTTGTTGCCTGTGTTGTCTTTCTATCCTGCCACACCATAAATTCTTTACCGAATACGGGAACCCTAGGGTATCCTACTGGAGTGCTGGAAAAGTGAATTTATTTTTCCTCTAGCTGAAAGAGAATTAAATTCAAAACTGTCTCCTGAATGAGTAACGCAGTGACTACTGAAGAAAGCCAAATACCAATTCTTGTTGGAATATTCTAAAGAATCAAGCTTCATTCATTCTTTGGAAGGGAATATTGTAAAAATCTGTCTTCAGAGAACGGTTCAATGCAGTGAATTTTAAGAAGGAAGCCTTTTCCTGAAAAAACAGGTGCTTGGAAAAGGAGTTTTGTGATTTGCACCTGTGATTATTAGTAGTCTTCTATTGACTAAACAGTCACAGTTTTAAAAAAAAAGGCTACAGGAATAGGTAATTAATATGTTAATTACTTCGGATCATGTTATGATCACAGTTTCTCTGTACATAGAAGGTAGTTATTTTGCTTAGCATTCTGGATCCTCCATTACACCTCAAATTATCAACTTTTATTTCCTATGACCCTTTACTGAATCTGACTCCTTATGCTTGATGGCATTTTGCAAATCCTAAAGGCTTACCGTTTTTCACTGCCATGTGAGGCGGTGCGTTCTACTGTGAAGTGGGTAGAACTGCGTTCTTGTCTTGGCTCTGCCATTTCTTCTTTCTTGGTAACCTTATCAGGTTGCTAAAATCTGCCTGTGAAACAGGAACAACATCCAAACCTGAATTAATTCCTTTAAAGTATTACTAATCCTTATAAGTCAATGTCCACATTTTACATGTGCAATATCTGTGATTTCTTTTGTATCACTAAACTATGTTGACATTAAATTCTGGCACCTTCCCTTTTATCACACTACGCCTGTGTCTGCTGCATATTTATATGAGTACTATTTGCATAATAAATATACCTGAATTGTCATTAAAGGCAAACAAAACTGTTCGTGGTATTAGCTGTGCTTAAGCAAACATGCATTTACATTTACTCACTGATCTTCCAGTTAGTGAAGTAATTAATTCACATTCATTAACACAATCACATATTTCTGTGATCAACAAAATTCTAAAGAACTTCAGAGAAGCACATCAGTGATAATGAGTAGAGCTGATATTTTCTGTCATTAAACAAAAAAGGAGCTCATGAAGAAATCACAAGTTGTTGTCCCTCTTTTTATTTCCCTCAGCAAGATAGTTTACATAATCCTAGATTATTTTTGGTTTTATACCAGTGTAGACATTACTGCTTTATTAAGCATATGATTAAGTTTTTGATGAGAAAATCTGACAAGAATAGGCAGGCAAAAACATCTCCTTTGATCCTAATTAGTGTCCTTGCTCCCAGATTTAACTGGGAGGCAGTTGATGAGAGGTATCATGAATTCATAAGGTTTAAATCCAGACGAGACCTTGAGATCTTCTACTTTCACCTCCTCTATGTTACAGATCATTAAATATCAGCCATTTATCACTATAATGAGCAAAACAACTTTGTTCTAAGGCATTAACTTGCGGAAAGTTATCCAGTTTTAATCTGCAGACACCAAGAGATGGAGAACCTATCATGTTTGTTCCAAAGGTTAATTGCTCACATTGTTAAAACTTAAGCCTCCTACTTGAGTTTGTGTAGCTTCAGCTTCCATTCACCAGTAGCTGGAATGTCTTCACTGATTTAGAGTGATAGTTGTATATTCTCTACTAGAGGCATTTGAACCTGAATTACTTCTCCATTGTTTTCTCTGGTTAATTAAGGAGGATGGAATCCTCTGCCTCCTACTGCAACGCTTTCCTTTAGGCCTCAAAATAACACTTGTGACTCTTTTTCACATTTTTCAGCTTTTCAATATCTTTAGAGAATTGTGACTCCATGTTACTGTGCTATACAATAATAAGCAAATTATGGTTAAATAATAGTAAAATAATGAATTTCAGTCTATTTGTTAAACTCACTTTTTACTAGACATATTGATCAATTTCTTTATATTGTTCTTTAGCTATTGATCTCCAGATCAGCATTTCTATTACTTGACTTAAGGCTGATGACAGAGTCCTTGCTCAAGGCTATTTTAAATTGCTGTGCATGGAATCTCTGCTCCATAGAGATTCTGTAGTTGAAAGGAAAGGAGAAATTAAGTTTTGTATTTTTTGTGGCTATCTAAAGGATTGACATCAATCAGGAATGGTTCAAGAATATCAAAATCACTTCAAAAAACCAGATAAAGATCATAGTTTTCACACAGACTTGGGAAAATGAGCTTAACAACACTTTTGAAACATATAGGGAAGACAATAATTTGGTATAGAACAAAGTTAATAAAAATAATGCCTGTGTCTGCCTGAAATAGCTAGTTCTTCAGGAAAAGTGGTATTTCAAGATACGCAACCTAACTTTCTAAGATGAGTAGTGCAATTACTTGAAGTTCTGTCAGTTCCATGGGGAAGAGCACAAATGTTTCTGAGCAATGAGTATGTCTTTCAATTAGAATAAAGAAGAGACTTTGGCAGAGAAACACAGCACTGATTCCTGGAAAAGGGAGGGATAGCTTGAGGGTGCATTTTTTGCTAGTTTCAACAGTAATTCTCTAAGAAAATATTTCCTTTGTGTGTCAAGGTGGTACTTAGTTGTTGGTCAGACACTATCTTGGTCAGGGTTATGGTGTATTTGACATATTGCTTCCAGCTGAATCCTTGTTAGATGGTCTTGTCTGTTGGTTCAGTTTGGGTCTTCATTACAGACCCAATAGATGTGGACAGGTTGAAGAAGGTCCAAAGGGTCACAAAGATAATCAAAGGACTGGGAAGCCTGTCATATGAGGAGAGGTTAAGAACAGAAAGCTACGTTTTGTTCTCTTGCAATCACCCATGAAAAATCTTCATGTTATAATAAAAATACACAGAAACCCTGAACAAGGAACCATTGCTTTCAGTACTGGCTAATTCTTTTGTCTTCTATGTTTGAACTCAAAAAAAAATTTGTACAACGTTAAAAGAAGATGTGATCACAGAATGGACTGGCAAACAGAAGTGAGAAGATAGGAACTGCATTAGAAGATAAGAGAAGTCTAAAAGAGAAATTCAATATTAAATTGATGAGTAACAGGAAGTACTTGCATTAGTAAAAGTCTACAGTAGCATTAACTGAATGAAAAGCATTTTCTTTCCTGTCTTCTTGACTGATACTCTGAAAAGTATTGGATATGGAATACGCTAGAGTTAATGGCTATTTAGAAGTCAAACCACCCAACTCTCCTCTTCTTACTATGTAATCATATCAGTCTCAATTATTGGAAATTCTCAGACCAGTAAAAAGTTAATGATACTCTGCAGAACTGCAAATAACAGCTACAACAAGCTCATTGCAGGGCTGGCAGCTCCTTCGAAAAAACAATTCTTTTCAATCTTTATCTCAAAAACTATCATAAAACTATGAAATTCAATGTTAGTTTTAAAATTCTGACCATGTTCTTTGACAGCTCATAACAAATAACTCAAAGCTACTGCAGAAGACAGACAAACCTGCCTTTACTGGGTTGCTAGTCACCCTTTCTGGTAGTCTTATTCAAAGACAAATTGCCCCCAGTAAAATGATGGTTCAGAAAAGCTCAAAG